ATTTTTTATTTTATATATTCAGAGCTGTAATCATTTGATGAGAACTTAATAGGTGCCATGTACATTCATTAAGGCGGAAGTGAAAGCCTACAACCCCCCCCCCCCCATCCCAATTAGCCTACCATGCTAAATGGACACAAAGAATCAAATGGGATAATACAATTCTGCAGGTGTAATTCATTTTCCATTTACCTTTTAAATGATCAGTTTGCAAGCAATAAAAGGATGGTGTTGTTTTCACTTGTGAACACATACTAATAGTATGAGATCATGTATGTTATACATTTAGCATTTCATAAATCTATCAATGTGTCTAAATGCCATTTGTGACTTTCAATAAATCTTTATCCTGGGAGAAATAAAATGGTGATGACATCCATTTAGGGTAAGAGCAATACTACAGAATTGTATAGATGTTATAGTGTAATATCAAGAGCTCATGCAATTCACTCGTTCATCATGTAGCAGTTAGAGACTGATACTTTAACAGCCTGTCATCTGGTAAATCTGTGCTGTCTAGCCTACATTACTGAATTATACAAATATACAAATCACTAATACTGTAAAAACTTGCTAGGGCATTATAAGAATAATATATTTTAAATTGCCTTTAATATTGCAACTACATTGTATGTAAAATTCATATCCACAAAACCCATCAAAATTTGTACTATCAATTGTCTCACAATAATTATGAATGTTGCAATATTTATAACTATTGTAATATTAGAAAAAATACTGTTACTGAATACAGACATTTGAGTTCATTAAAGATTGAAATTTCATTTCACAACAAATATCAATAGTAGTACTATTTTCTTACCTTTCTTCTTAAATCAAATCCTTGTTGTCTTTAAAACTAATTTGGCTTCAATTCATACAAAAATGTGATAAATTTCATGAAAAATTTACATCATATCTGTATGTTAATAAAGCAGCCATTGTAACTGGTATATTGAACATCTATGTAAAGTGACTTGGATCGAAAGCATGGAACTACGCAAGAAAGACGAGTCTGGATCAATACACAAGTTCCTCTATCTACTGATTCTCTAACAGAAATGCATGCATTTGTATTCCTTGTTTGAAAACTCCATCTTGCCTATATTGAAGGATTATCAGATACTGCAACAATGCCAGCCATTTTAAATTCATGTCTCCGTTGGGAAATTTAACAGAACAATTCCAAATTTTGTACTTATGAAAATATAGAAACCTACTGAGACAGTCAGGCAGTACTATCAAAAACAAAAACAAAACAGACTTCCTGATAAACTTACTAATATTTTAAATCTTCTGAAATCTTTATTTATTTTACAACATTAGAGAATAACTGAGGACAATCAGAGGAAAAAATTAATATTTATTAGTGATCAAAATTCATGTGTAATACTTTTTATCATAAAGATCATTCAACAATATACATATCGCCTCCTAAATGTAGTTATATCAAAAATACATTCTAATTGATTCTGTTTGTCTTTTGATCTGATCATGATGAGGCTGAAACTTTGGTTGGGTTTTATGTTGCACCAACACAGTATAGGCGACTTTCCAGCTTGAATGGTAGAGGAAGGTCTCCGGTGCCCTTCTGTACATTATATTCAGGCACAAAGAGGGACCCGAGTAGAACCATAGATGTTCTGTAAGCTAGCTGGATAGCTTTCTCACGCGTACAATCTGACAACTCTTGCGTGGCTTGAACCTAGTCAACAACCTTATGCACTCGGCCACAGATGCCCTTTAGTAACTTCTTGAATTAATTAACTTCCAAAATTAAGGACAAAGAGAAATTTGTTTGTTACTAAAATATACAGATATTTTTAGAATGATATGAAACCTCACATAAAAAGATCAAATAACCATGACAACATCTTGATCTACAATTATCAAATAACCATAAGAACACCTTATCATTAGTGATTTATGTTGAGGTAGCTAGTCTTTGATGATTTATATCATTATCAGTAACTTGCATTGTCATCCAATAATTCAACAAGATGTAAAAGAAAGAACAGACCAAAGAATAAACACAAAACCTAACTTTTGTTTTCAGAACTTTACATCATGCTTTGTCATGATGAATTTGTTCTTACCAGTCAGCATTATAAGCTCAGTATTTAGACAGCATTAAATATATTAACAAGTTTGAGTCTTAGATACACTTTTTTCTGTGAATATTTGATACATGACAACAATATATTTCAGCAATTTGTCCACATGCAACAGAATAGATCCTAAAAGATGCAAGCATTGAACAGGAGGCGACGCAATTTGGACTTAAACAGAAATTAAATGTGTATGGTAAAGACTTGAGAGAACCACAAAGTCTATTACTCAGACTGGTGTGCTGGTGAAGGGCTAATATTAAAAGAAAGAGAGAGAGAGCTAACTGATGATTCTAGTAATTTATCTGCAGTTTTTAAAGGAAATAATGATAACTACAGGTATATCATACAAGATGTTTTTTTAAAAGTAACTGCTTTCAGGTGTATAAGCTGCACCAGTCCCATTTAAGAAAAACTCAACAAGAAAACCCTGGTGGCAATAACCAGATATTACAGTTGCAGTGGTAGGTAATCCTAACTGTCTGAAATTAAAGACTGCAAAATGAGACAATTCTATGACAAACTGTCTGGAAAGATATTAATCACAGATGAATAATATAGCAGGAGATATTTTCTTCCTTTAACAACTTGCCATAATGATGGAGTGCCTTCTCCTTCATTATAATAATGAATAATTGCTTGCCTTCCAAACTTGTAGAAAAGATCTGAACATCTTCATTATGTGGGTACATAAAATTAAACAAATGATGCACAATGCACAAAACAAGTCATGCATGTCTATAGACTTTCATCAGACAATTACTTCAAACATCAAAAATCAATTGCTTTTTAGATTAAAGTAATTCTTATTTCATTTGCGTTTACTAGTAACAATGCATGATCAAGCTTTAAGTTTAATAAATTTTGTAAATTTTAATATCAAATGAGGGGTTACATTTACAAAACCCATGAAAGTTTAATGCCAAAAATGTAATTCAAAGATATTGATAGTTATATAGAATGCAATCAACAGTCAGGTTCTTTTTTTAAAAAGAAGATTTTTTAAGTTTTAACTATACACATATAGTTAAAAGCAATGACACCCCTGGGGCGGGGCCAGTTTTGACCCCAGGGCTTTTATTTGAACAAACTCACTAGATGATGTTTCATGCTTAATATCTAAACTTTAGCTTTTGGGTTTTTTCAAAGAAGATTTTTAAATTTTTGCTATACACATATAAGGAAAATCAATGTCCCCAGGGGCAGGGCCAATTTTGACCCAAGGCTTTTATTTGAACAAACTTTGTAGACACTAACTGGAAGATTTTTCATGCTTAGTATCTAAACTCTAGCTATTTGGGTTTTTTCAAAGAAGATTTTTTAAGTTTTTGCTATACATATAGAAGGAAAATGACCCCTTGTGCCAGTGTTCGAAATTTGCAGTAGTCCTATAGCCCCTGACTACTAAATTTCTCCTCGGGCTACCAACTTTTCACAGTAACAAGCCCGACCAGGCTACTGTATTTTCAGAGGCAATATAAACAACTGTTTAAAACAAATGAATCATGCTAGTGAAATGTCTTTTGGGCTAGTGAATATTCCAATCTGATAGTTCGACCATTCTAGTGGATTCAAATCCTAATTTCTTACACTGTGGGGCGGGGCCAATTTTGACCCCAGGGCTCTTATTTGAAAAAATTTGGTAGACACCCATTAGAACATGTTTCATGCTAAATATCTTAGCTCTAGCTCTTTGGGTTCTTTGAAAGAAGATTTTATAAGTTTTACTATATGCATATTGGGAAAATCAATGACCCCCTGGGGCGGGGCCAATTTTGACCCCAGGGCTCTTATTTGAACAAATTTGGTAGACACCCATTAGAACATGTTTCATGCTAAATATCTTAGCTCTAGCTCTTTGGGTTCTTTAAAAGAAGATTTTATAAGTTTTTACTATATGCATATTGGGAAAATCAATGACCCCCGGGGCGGGGCCAATTTTGACCCCAGGGCTTTTATTTGAACAAACTTGATAGACACTCACTAGAAGATGTTTCATGCCAAATATCTAAGCTCTACCTCTTTGGGTTTTTTAAAAGAAGATATTCTAAGTTTTTTCTATCGGTTGCCATGGCAACCAGAGTTCTGCATGGAATTAAATTCTTAATTTTTAAAGGTGACCACCAAAGGAACATTCCTGTGAAGTTTGGATGAAATAGGCTCAGTCGATCACAAAAGCTCACCCAGTCACTTTGTGACAGGTGAGCTAAAAAGCATCTTTTCTCTATGATTTATACATTTTAAGTTTGATACATTAACAAGGAAGTATACTTGAGTCTGTCTTTTTTATATTATGATGACAAGGCTGAAATTTAGACTTTAACTAACACTGAAATACAATGCTGATACATTATATTCTGTAATACAATATATCTTGGGGAAAATACCAGACAAATTTCATTTAACATGGCAATAGAAAAATTTTCCATACACTAATAGATTTCTTGTAAAGTTAAATGAAATTCGTTCTATAGAATATAAAATGTATGTACAGTTTGTCACGACACAACCAGAAATCTTTATAAATATGTTGGTACAAAAATCTCAGCCAGTAGAGACAAGATTCATTTAACCTTCTCAATACAAATTTAGAGACACTCTTTGTAAGTAAAGCTTAAAAATCTAAGCATATTTTTTCTTACAGAGTATATAAAGCTATATCTGTTTATATAATTTTTAAAAATTTATTAACTGATGTTGTATCCATAATTTTACGGTCAACTCTCGGAAGACTTATAATAAAGAATGCCTCTTTTATTTAATACACATGAATAATGTATGAATAAAATGTTCCATAACAAAATATTTTTACCGGTAACTACAGGTAGAAGAAATATAGCTTTATACACTTTCAATCCGTCAAAAAATATTATTACAATAACATGTAAATACCTTCTAGGAGAACCAGTCCCTGTTTCCTCCTGTCACACGACACAACTAGCCGACACTTTAATGACTTGTTACTATGTTACACTAGGGTATAAGATGCTGAATTTTCCAGAAAACTGTAAATAAAATGTCTGAAAGTCTGAACAAAATGTCTACAAGATAATAATGATATATGATCACATATCAGATTACAATATTTCAAGGATGATACAATAATGCAAAAAGTTATTAGATGAATAATACATATACAGATTTACTTTATATATATTGACAAAATTCCACCTCTAATTATATGGAAAACTCACTATTGGCAACCATATTATTTTAAAAAGCTTAAAACTAATCAATGCCGACAAAAAATATCTGTTTTAGAAATCATCTGTCAACATTGTTCACACATCATAAACAAGTCCCACCTATCTGACCATCATTAACAGGAGAAACAAGTCGATAGGTACTTACAGTTCACATTTACTAATTCATTTAGTTAAATGCTCCCAAATGCTCGTAATGAGCTCAATAATGAAAATTATTTTATATACTACAGTATAGTAATAAAATTTCAAAACATGACAAGTATTTAACAAGTATTTAGATGAGAAGGCGTGTATCGATTGTTTACAGTCATCTTAAACATCCTATTTCATTTGTTAACCTCAAGACACCCATATAATAGTATTTCTACATAGACTTCTAATCTTATATGTAAACATAGCCAACCTTGTAAGTACTTTCTATTTAAGAATTCAAATTCTGTAACATATATTTCACACCCAAGTTACTATGTATACAGTCATTATATAAATATTGTTTTATACATATTATAACAAAGACGATTATAATATTATATTCTGCTTTAAAAACAAGTTTTATTGTGAAAATATGATGATTCAAAAATAAAATACAAAACCTCTAGATATTTTTGTATTATAGGACAGGTCAGTGAATATAAATGGAATAAGCATAAGACAACAACTTGTTTTAAAGCTTAAAAAGATACAAATCATTTTCACATGGTGGGGAGGGGTGTCAGGGGTTCATCCTTTGAGCATAAAAACCCTTATGTTTGGAAAAAAGAAACTCTCTACTCTCTATGATGTGACAACACTTCCATTTTTAGAGTGAAATGTTAATTCAGACTTCATGCCGATTCCAGAGAAAATAATATAAAAATCTAATCACCCAGCTGTCAAATTATTTTATACATACAGCAAAATATTATTATAGCACCATCAGTAGATTATAGAATTATGAGACTTTTATCTTAAGCATAATTATGGTATCTTTGGAATATGGTGGCAAGGTGAGGTAATATTACTATGTGAAAAGCATCTATTTTTTACAGGTTATATGGCCCTATATAAATGGTTGTTTGTATATATAACCCAAGCCATTACGAGAGAGTATCAAAAAGTTTTAAGACTTCAAGTTTTCTATTATTATAGTTTTACTGTACATTATAAGTTTCTACTAACTTCCTGTGACCAGTCTACAGTATTTAATCAAAATTACACAATATGCAGACCTATCAGTCCTTCTCATAATATTCACCAGAATGGTCAATACAATTCTGCATAGGCTCACAATAACTGTCTGGTACTAATATCTATAAAGTCTGATGCCACAGTGTTTGCAACTGCCACTTTCAGTGCAAGGCCAAGTTTCTTGTAGATTTTCCTTGGTGTGAAAGAGAGCAAATCACAAGGGTCAAGGTCCGGGATGAGCCACTGTCTGGATGTTAACATGTGCAGTGTCTCTATCCTCATGTTTGAAGAGTGTGAGCGAACATTGTACAATGTACAGAATGATGTTTGTAAGCTGTGGTCTCTAATTGGTGATGTCACAACTTAATGTCTCCTGATTTACCTTTGGAAGGTAGGCAGCCATGACAGTTTGAAACTTCATGTGACACTATAAGTCTGGATGTGTAACATCACCTTGGCATTAGATTTTGACACCCGAGACTTCTTCAGTTTCCTGTTTTCTTTCGAGTTGAAACACAAGTAACTAAGTTTCATTTGAAGCTACATGTATGTCACCAAAAACTATCACCTCTGACACATAGTCTGAAAAAACTCCAGATCCACATGTTTCACATTCTGTTCACTAGTTAAAAGCCATGGAATCCATTGTGCATAAAATGCACTCCATCTCTAAAAGACTAAAATGTTAGGAAAAGTACTTAGTACAGACCAGTTACTTCTGTCACAATTTCATGTTTGCTTACCTTTCTATCATTATCAACCCTAATCCCTAAATTTCATCTACAGACAGCACTGTTTGCATTGCCACATCATTCTTACTAGTCTTCAACGGGTATTTGAACCTCTCAAAATCTCTTCTTACATCTAAATACAAGCAATCTTGACACTGCTGTTATGCTGTATGCTGTGGATATATATTTCTCTGTCTGGGATAGCACAAAACCAAATAGTGCACAAAAATCAACATTTGATGTACTTTGATATCACACTGTTTTCCAAAACCCAGCAGGGCGACCTGTTGCTAAAAATGATTTCACCATCTGATGTTTGTAGTGAATACATATTCATGTGACATCATGTAGTGTATTTCATGCTGATTATGCATGTATTTTGCATTTTATGTGGTGTTTTTCCAAGGTATTGACTTAAAATTTTATGGTGTCCTATGGAAAGACATTCTTCAGCTACAGTCTACTTTAACGAGATTATTAAAATGCATGAAAGCATGGGCTTGCCTGCTATGCATGTAGAAACTGAAATTTTCTGTTCAGACATATAATAAAACACAGTCAAAACTGTGCTTATGATTTCAACAAGACATAAAACTAATACTAACTTCAAATGTATTAAATACTATACAGTCATGTACTTACATTTCACTGTGAAAATAAAAACCTCTCTTCAAAATACAGATTCCATTCAACATGGAGACTTGAAACTATTCCAGAAATTCACCGTCATAAAAAATGACCTTGAACAGATAAAATTTCCAATACTGGAATACACCATTTATAAACACTTTTATGGAATTCACAGCCAGACATTATGTAAATGCTTCCTAATTGTACAGTGATTTATGTATCCCAAACTGACCATCACTGACCAGGGTCATCAACATTATAGGAAGCATCCTGAATATGGCTATAAAAATGTTGTTTATCAGAAATTTCAACTCTCTCTTGTGAACTCCGAAGCCTGATGGAGTTAACTGTGTATTGATTTCCAATATGATGGGAACAAACAAGGTCCAGGTGACTCAACCACACTTTATATCACTAAAGAGTAAATTATGACTCAGGTAAATGGCCTGCTCTTACAATATTACTGCATTTATAGGATAATTAAATAAAAACACTCAAACAAGAAAATAGTGCCATTGGTAACATGTACAAAATCTGTCATGTTGGATGACAGCAAACATGTCTTATGTTTTAAAAAAGTTTGATAAAAAAAGTTTAAGCATACTTAAATTCCTTCTATGGCACTTAACTATTCAAATTTTACAGATTCCTTTGAAAAGAAGCAAGAAATCTCAGACCCCTTCATTCTAAAAATTGTTAAATATATATTAAACTAGAAATGTGTCCATAGGACATGGGTGCCCCCCACCGCGCCACTGTTCTGTCAATCTTATTTTTTGGACTACATGTGTCACAAGTTGAAAACTAAAAATATTTAACTAAGTAAAGGGCAAGAACTTTACAAATACTGAATAAATCCACAAGCAAACCCCAAGGTGCATAAGTACACATGCTGACCAACATTCTTGTAAACTTTCAGTCCTACAAGTCAAATACTTTTTGAGCTATGCATGAACAAGTTGAAAATTGCAAATTTATACTACTGTAAATCAAGGGCAATAACTCTAACAAAACTGGAAAAAAATCCACATGCAAAGTCCCAGGTGCATAGCTTCACAGTGATGTTGATCATTATTCCTGTAATTTAGTGATCTTGATCATTATTCCTGTAAAGTTGGTTGATTCTAACTCAAGCACTCAAGGAACAAATAACACAACATAATGAAACGGTTTTTACTAAGTCAAGGGAAATAACTCTACAAATACTGGATAAAACCACAAGCTAAATCCAAGGTGCACACCTACATATGCTGAGCAACCTTCCCGTAAGGTTGAATGACTCTATGTCAAATCCTCCTTGAGTTACATGCGACACAAGTTGAAAATTGCAAAATTTTTCTAAGTCAAGGGAGTAACTCTAAAAATACTAAATAAATCCAGTCGAAAATACCCAGGTGCACAACTACACATGCAGATCAATATTCCTGTAAAGTTTCATGACTCTATGCCAAATCCTTTTAGAGTTACATGTGACAAGCTGAAAACTGCAAAATTTTACTAAGTCAAGGGCAATAACTCTAAAAATACTATATAAATCCACACAAAAATCGTGAACTAATTTAACAGCTTTCATTATTAATTTGTCAAGAATCTAATTTTCAAGTTGGCATGCCTAGTATATGCATTCATTCTGAAAAAGATGGTCAAGTAAAACACTATTCTACTTATAAGCTAGCTGGATAGCTTCCTATATTTGTAACATTATTATATGGAATTATGAAGAAATAGAGGTGGGCAGGGGTGTCTTGCTATTTAAATTCTTTGACACTGGCATGAAAACTGATATTCAACAAGGCTTAAACTACAGACTTCATGTTATATTACAACTTGATCCGCAACATACTACTGTTGCCACACAACCGGTTTTACAAAAAGAACTATTTCTATCTTTTCCATCTGAACATAACACAAGATTTCAAATTACTTAACATAATAAATATCCAGTAGTATACTAAATTATTTAAAGACTATTTGATAAATGATATTAACACATTCCTTTATTGTCATCTATAATACCTCTTACAGAATTTGATGCCATTGAGTCAGTTTCTAAATACCATACTTGTCATTGTTACCACAGGGAGGAGAGAAAAATACTTTTTCTTCTTAAATTGTGCATTAGTCTAACAGTGAATATTCTGGAGTCAGATTCACTGTAGTTGTGCTCTTCCATAATGTCATAGGCCATTATGTCAAAGAGCTTAATATGATAATTTTATCATGCTATTTTAAATATAGTATTTTATCTGTAGCTATTTATAATTTTAACCAGTTAAAGACATGCATCATGTCTCCTTTGAGTTAATTGTACTTAAATTGCACTTCAAATACCAAGACAACCTCATTTTATTACCATTATTTTGGTCTTAAAATATCTTCTTTTTTATCAAATTCTCAGAAAATAATGTCCAACTAAAGATTATGTACATTATTTTTATGACAGATTAATTGCCAAATTTTTATATTATATTTTAAAACATCATAAAAATTCCAAATTTCAAGGGTATGGGTTATTTTCCTAACAGAACCTGGTAATTCAAATTCTTGACAGGGTATAAGTACTTATTACTGCGGGCTTAATATTCTGCGATTTTTGTTAAAATAAGGGGTTTTAAATTTCTACGTATCTTATTTCTGCGATGTCATCATTCTCGCATTAATGAGTTTTATTTCTGCGAATTAACTAAGATACATGTAAAAAATTAACCGATAAAAACAGACAACATTTCAAGATTTGATGATGTTACATTACTTCCAAGACTGATAATGTGTTTCGTCGTAATCAACATGTATCGGTCAATACACATTCAAAACAAACATGAAAACAACGAAGAATGACAAATTTTAATACTGTAATTATATGAATATGAAGTGTGAAAATAAACAATGGCAAAACCGTACTACGACACAATATATTGTACAAATACATAAAAGGTATGTTTATAGCAGGTTTGAATGAAAATAACAAACAAGGGTCATTTTTGTATCACCTGTCAAACTATAATAGTTTTTCTTTAAAACTATACACACAAAAAAACTCATCAAGCTTGGGATGAGCGAAAATCATACAAACATGATAATTATTTATTTCAACAAAAAGAACAAGCAAAGTAAGCTTTCCCCCCTTATATTTTGTTCATGACGGATACATAAAAAAATCCCATCTACAAAAGCCGATAACGATACATGGTAATGTAACTATATTTTCCCTGTAGTTGAAATATTTTGACATATAAAATAGGAAAGGCTTAATTTTCTACAGTTTTTTAATCTGCGGTGTCGTTATGAACCGCAGAAATAGCAGAAATAAAGTTCCCGCAGAAATAAAGTTCCCGCAGAATAAAGTACTTATATGGTATCTGAATTTACAATGTGATACAATTTGTTTAAAATCTACACCATTCACACAGTCATAGTCTGTTTAAATCAGTGGTACATGTTGAAATATAGTTGCATTGGTCTTCATTTTTCCCCATCATTTTTCATTTAGCATTAATAGATAAAACTGATACATGTACTTCTAAATTAATTTGAGTCGAAGATAATGAATAATACAAGGATTGTATGAACATTTCCCTAGCCAACCTATAAGTGATTAATTGTTGGACAACAGTGATAAGACATGTTCAAGCAGTCAATGAGATTTTCTTTGTCTATTTTCAAAAGTTTTAACTTTTCTTTCAAAATGCATGCAACTTATACCTGTAGGATGATTCTGGGCTCTGATGGAAGGGCTAAGCTCTTTTAAAGCCCCTTTTCATTTGACAAACGTATCCCTTTTTTTTAAAAATTTGTTTCATAGAAAGACAACATTTAGTTGGGTTTAAGCTGTATATGCTGACACATAATAATAACAACAAACTGCTGGTGAGGCCTGTGTGTCCAGTTTATAACATAATCATTAAAAATAAAATCATATTTTTGTTTATCAATGTTACAATGTAAGAACTTGCACAAATAATATTAAAATAGGAGATATATGAAATATACAATTTTCAACTTAACTATATATCATATATCAGTAACTAGATAAAACAGTGAAAGAAACAATGACTAGAAAATGTGTCCATAGGACACCACTACCCCCACTTCATGTGCCATCAGAGTGGCATATTGGCATACTTATGCATAAGTGTTATATTCATAGCACATACACATGTATGTATAAAAGTAATAGTAACAACCTGTATGACTAAAATTATTGTTTTCATTTTTAAGTATCACTGTGACCTTGAAATAAATGTTCTAAAAATCAATAGAGGTGGTGATCTACTAGTCATTACTAACCTTCATATAATATCTGAGGACTGTAGGCGAAAGTTTTCCTTAGTTATTGGTCAGACAAGCTTTTTAGTGGTCAAGGCCACAGTGACCTTGACCTATAAAAAAAATCAATTGGGGTCATCTACTGGCTATGTCCAATTTCTCTAAGTAAAATAAACTAGGGCTTATTTTTTCTCTAGTTATTCATATAAGACAAGGAAGAGATGATGTTCACACATACATAAAGACCAACCCAATCACAGTATGCACCTACTTTTAAATGGGGGCATAAAAATGTCGATATGAAATATAAATGAGAGTGTAACTGAAATATAGGTAAACACTGTAATTTTCTCACAATAAACCTTTCCCAGAAGACTTGAAATATCATTTCACATTAACTTTTCATGATGTGTCCCAATTATTTACTATAGATTTTATTGAACAATTACAGTGAAGCTGATCAAGGTGAGTGAAACAATTAAGCTCTTTGTAATAGACAAATTGATTATCATCTAAACATTTAATATCAAAACACTATAAATGTCATCATCAACAAAAGTCAAGTTTAACAAAATAGGTAAACATTGGATCACTATTTGTTACCCTTTAAAAAGTATCCATTGAATATGAATGCAAGAAGGCCAAGGATAACTGTTAAACATTTGAAGTTATTATGAGAGAGGAAGGTGTCAAAATTGATGCCTGTTTGGTGAAATGAATGCTATGCTGTTGATGCATATAAAGGCAAACTGCCGATGACAAATTTAAATGGCCTAACATATCTAAGCCTAATTGAAAATGCCTTTTTTCATCACAAACTATAAAGGGTTAAGGTTGTTTTGCAAATTATGTCATTTACTTTAAATATGTTTGTCCATCAAAAAACAAAAGGACGTTTTTAATTTCTCCACTATTAGTGCTATCAAATCTCTACTGGTACTGTATAAGTGTTTCAAGGAAATTAATGACTGGTATGATCAAAATCAATTTTAAACCAGATTTTCAGCTGGCTCAAAACCTGACTTTTTATTGACTCGAACTTCAACACCTGTTCAGCACATTAGGTATTAAGAATCCATATTACCCTATAAATTACAAGTGTTTTTATGATCTTATTCATGGTTTAATTAACAATATTATATTACACTAAGAAAAAGAAAGAAAATTATCATATCCATTTGCAGAATAGCTACATTTCATTATTTTTTAGTTTGCATATATTTTGAACACCAAGAGGTCTTTTCAGACATTCAATAAATCAAAACACAGAATGGAGCAAGTTTTGGTATTTTTCACCATAAATTAATTAGCTTAAAACAGATAAATCAGACATGCTTTTGTCACATTTCAAACAGGTTATCAAAATGATGCATTTTAATGATTTGGTCGCCCTTTAATCTATATCAGTACGGCACTAATAAAAGAACATAAAAGGCAGCTTCAAATTTTATAATAAGTGCAAATTCATAAATGTAAATATACATGGTTGTTGTGACGTAGCGTGCACTACCTACTGCTAAATAAAGAACGTATTACAGGTGACACATGCTTAGTTAACATGTGAGATTAACTTTGGCTAACCAGGTGTGTGGAAATATGAATTTTTGCCACAAGGCACTTTCCCACTGACAAGTTAGGCTTAAACTTTTACTTGCCCACAGCTTAAGTTTACTTGTTCATATTTTAACGAAAATTTATGAGAGCCGAATATAGTGTTCTTTCATAGTTAGGTATGAACCGATTTCTCAACATAAAAATCACTTAAATCAGATATAATTTCTGCAGTTTCAGTAAATGTTCTACAAATTCTATAAGGCAATGCCAATGAATCATGTCAAAACTATCATCATTTTGATGCTTGTTAAGTATGAAAATAGGCTTGAGCTTATGGTTACTCTTTTTTTTTGCTTCTCTACAATTAAGGTGATTTTTTCTGATAGTACAGTAACACTTACTGTTACTTCTAAATACAAAGTCAATGACTTATACAATTGTAAAAAATTGAACCAAAACAACTTTATATATCTAGGTATCAGACAGCTTGCCTTTCTAAAAGAGTTCTACAATGGGGTTAAACTGTTGATACAAGAAAGTGTAGTTACTTAAACTAAGATTTCATGCATAACTTTACTTACTGGAATAAATGTTTCTCATAGATAAGGGGTAGAAATACAGTATTTTGTTTTATCTACTGGCTCAGATTTTTTCTTGTCGACAGAGAAGTTGAATGGAAAAATCTACCAGTACTTGTCCATCAGCATAATTGCCATGCTGAACAAGTTGGGCATAGGCTTTCCACATCCCTTGTGACATTGAACAGTTCCTTATGCCACATTGCCCATATTCTCAATAAGCAACACAATATTGAACCTGCTATTATGCAGTTTATGGACAAATATACTGTTTATCACAAATGACCGGAGGCAGGGATTACATTTTATAGACATATGCTGCATTTGATTTTTGTAAATTTAATATCATGGTGGCATTTATTTTTATTATTATTATTTCAATCTCTGCTATCAGGAATCAGGATAAGGATGGTCAAAATACCAGATTTTTTTTCTAGATCCCACCAGGATATCACATAGATCTATGTAATAAAACTGAATCTAACTAAAATCATTCTTAAAGTTTCAAGATACAAATTTAAAGTTCAAAAATGGAAACAAACAAACACTGTTCCTATCTTTTATTTTGAAAATGATGAATAGTAATGAGGATTTTAAAGAAATAGGTTTTATTTAACTAAAGTACACGTGGAGGTGTCCTTCAGTATAACTGTACTTAATACCGGGATGTCGAAGGCCAGGACCGCGAAGATGGTCCCCGGCTTAATGACTACATGTGCATATTTAAAATAAGATCAAATAAAAACAATTAAATTTTTAATGGACTTCCCAGTTCATAGGGGCGATAGGGCTAGGCTTTGCCTAATTTCGTATTATTTTCGTTTATCTATAGCAATGAAAAGACTTGGTTGCACTGACTTAAAAAGTGTGCAAATATGCGCATGTAAAGAGATGTCAAACCTGCAGGCAGACTTCCCGAAAGTTAAAAAAAACTGTCAGACATTCGGTCTGACAAACCATGAAAATCTGTCGGACAGAAACGAAATCTGTCAGACCAAATAAAATTGATCAAAATCAAAGAAAAACTTGTGTTTGTATTTCTAAAACACTTTTTGTTTTTATTTTTTTCACCGTAAAAATCGGCACATTCCGTACAGTGCATTTTCATCTCCTCCCTGTTATACACCAACGATTCATGGTCCTGCTTCCATTTTTCATTAAATTTTGTCTCAGGTCTATCCGTTTCATCCTTTTATTGCTGTTCTGCGCGCTCCTCTGACGTAGATTTTTGTTTTTCCCAGGTTTGGCAGCTTTAGCGACGCCATTTTGTATACATGCGGCTTGGATAAAGCCGGACATTCGGACTAATCCGGAATAAAAAATCGTCGGAACTGATCAAAATTTATCGGACATGTCTGTCAGACCGACGTATTTCGGGAAGTCTGGCAGGGAATATCTTTACGTGATCTTTTTAAAATATTTTGGCTTTTGCTATGAATTGTTGGTGTTTAGATGACCATCATGATGTGTAAATAAGTCAATCGATTGCCGTCAAATTGACACGGAAATATGTCATAATCGTGAAACTATTGACACGAATTTAGTGATGCTGACAATAAAAGCATGACACTCAAGACAAGAAAAATAGAAATTGGTTGCCAATGTGCGAAAATGTAAACAAAAGCATAAGATGTAAGAATATTAAATAAACCAAAAATTAGAAGGACAAACAAAATTATGTACCCTTTTATTTGAAACACACACACATGAATCTTCAAATAAATTGATGATTAACGGTAATTCTCAGAATTTGTATTTTTCAACATATTCTCTGGTATGCGACTGGAACTTCCGGTACATAAATTTTAGACTGTATCTCGATAAGTTTAGCTCTTTTTATTGGGTGAACAATGTGTAGGTCGTTACCAGTCGAAATACATTACATGATAAAAGCGGATATATTCCGACTGGTAAACCGGAACCAGGAATGGAAAAGATTGCGGGAAATTCTATCAAGTATCGTCAAATTTAGTTTTACATAATCAGACAGATAATGGATGATGATTACGCTTTGGCTCTTCAACTTCAGTCAGAATTTTTTGAAAGCGGTGACAATTTTCATGAATTTAGTAATTCTGTCACCAAGAATGGAAATGAGCCTCGTTCTCTTGTTGATCCATTTTGGGAGGTAACAGACCCCAATCCTGATGTTAGGGCACTGTTTCTGCAGTTCAACGATCGTTTTTTCTGGGGAAGACTTGCGGGTGTTGAAGTTCGATGGAGTCCAAGAATGACATTGTACAGTATTTGTTTTTAAATAATTTTTGATTTGCAGAATATCAAAGTGTATCTTAAAAAAATTACATGGAAATATGTATACATGTACATTAATTGTATCAATAATAATTATGATTCACCCCAATGACGATTTGACCCATAATGACCCGCCCAACTTAAATGGCAAATCACCCATCTTAAATGATGATCAGATGCCCACTTCAGTGACAATTCGCCCCACTTAATTTTTACTTAAATTCATTTAATTGAATTTTATTTTACTTCATTTAATTGAATTGAAAAATAAATATGTTTTGGGTATTTAATTCAGGTAAAGAGTCAACTCGGCCCTATACCAACTCGCATACATGCCATAATTTTTGGACAGCTTTCCGGGACACTTTTCATCGCGGCAATAATGGATGTGGAGGCAGTTGTTGGGGAGGGGGTGTGTCAATCGTATAACGTTCTTAAATTAGGACGACTTTCTCCTGAATTCTAATGATAAACAGTTAACTTACTAGTTTTAGAAGAAGTCTTTTAGGTCGACATCTTTATCATTTTATAGTATTTCTTTATTTCATTTATTATTCCCTAAAAGCAAGTAAGTTGTAAGTTATAAACCCAGTGAATGGGCGCAGCCATGTTGTTCACCCGTTATATCTTAAAGTCATGATAATTACTACATGTCACATAACGCAATTCTTCCAGTCATCAAAACAAACACAGCAAGTTAATTTATTTGACACCTTTAATTTTTTATTTGATGGATATATTTACATTGTTTGTAATAATTAGACTTTCGGCAAGTAAGCGATTGATCTAAAAATTAATGATTATCGGGGATTAACGATAATTGTAAAAGGGCCGTAAACCATTAATTAACCCGACCATTAAACGCTGCCGAATTCAACAGAGAAAGTTAATTGCCGATGCATGAAGAAAGCTATTGCCAAGAGGAATCGATAGTAGATAATTGGGGGGCTGTATATTGTAAACTTGTGTCAACGTTCCTGTGTATTATGTGTACCAGGTCAGAATATATTTTACGATCGAGAGGTGAAATGTGCGAGATTTGATTTAAAAAAATTTATGAAAATTTTGCAAAAAAAAAATTTCAGGTATTAAATCAATAACCGGGACAGACATCCAATTTCCGGGGCAATCCTGGGCATCCGGGACGTTATGGCATGTATGCCAACTCGGCACAGGTCAACTCGGCACAGGTCAACTCGGCCCACTTTACAAAAAAAGCTCCCTTTGATGCTTTTTGTTTGTAAAGTAATCTTCAATAAAATATGAAATAAAAACACGTTTACTTATTATATGAAATATTTTTAATGTTCTTTATCTTATATACATAAAACAACATGTAATGCATTTATTAACATTCAATGTATTTTGCAATGTCACAAGGATGGATTGTAATAAGTTTTTATTACCCAAATCATTGAAAACTCTCATTACCAATTAAATGTAATAAAAATCTATGAAAACATCTTTCCACATTTGTAAATAAGTCCATATATTGATTATGTGGTTCCAACAATAAAGAGTGATAAAACAAACTAATATATTAATAAATTGAAAAGTTGGCCAAGTTGACCTGTGCCAAGTTTGTATAAGGCCGAGCTGACTCGGGGGGCCAAGTACGTTCTAGGGCCTAGCTGACCCTGATTCTTTAATTCATTTTGGTATTGTTACAGAGATTAAAAATTCCAATTGTTCGCTCATAGTTACGAGTAGAATTTAAGAGATTTAGAAGCTACTTGACATGCAGGATAAGTGACTGAAAGAAAATTTCAATGCCAGATGTTATAAATAAGTGATAGTAAACTGTTGTTTATTTACACATATTATTCATAACTTAAAGCAGATTGTTAATAATTGTTGACAATGGTTTTTTTCTGGCAAATTTTATGTATACCAGTATATGTTATGCGATAACAAGAAAGTTACATCATAACTTGGTGCCATTAATTATGATTATTTAAGTGGGGCAATTGGGGGCGAATCGTTATAAGTTTAAATATTGATAAGTAATAGGTGAAAATGACCAATTACTGTTGGTTGAGATACATAAAAAAAGAAACATAAAGAGAACATTAATTTCTATTTCACAAATAATTATATATACAAACATACATTGACTCTAATCATTTCATAATTTAAGAACTTACGTACGTTTTAATTGAGTATTGAAGAGGGGTGAATCATCACTAATCTGGGGTGAATCATTACTGTTATAGGCAAGGCGAATCATTGTATCATTATGCCAATCCATTTTACTTTCCATATTTCTCAGAGTTTCTTGTATTCTCTGGGAATGTTTAAAATGAATTCAATTAACAGCCATGACTTCTGTCTGAAAATATATCTTCTTTGAAAGACTGAAAAAAGGCTTTAAAAAAACCCCAAAACTTCTTTGAAATATCTGTTTATCCAAAACAAAGTTTTACACTTAATAACTATGTCACTAAAAATATCAACAATTATTTTGGAGAAACAGGAAGGTAGTTGCTGTAAACTGCTTTTAGTGATATGCTATAATTAATGCTGACTTTAGCCATATGCTATAATTAATGCTGACTTTAGCCATATGCTGTAATTAATGCTGACCTTAGCCATATGCTATAATTAATGCTGACTTTAGCCATATGCTATAATTAATGCTGACCTTAGCCATATGCTATAATTAATGCTGACTTTAGCCATATGCTATAAATCATTCACTAGAACACAGCATTACTGTATCTGAGATGCCCATGATAATTCTTATTAAAGAAATATGAAATTTTATGAAAGAACATCTTAAATATATAATGGAAAACTATTAGTCATTAAACTGATAATTAAACAAAATGAACTTATTAACAGTAATAGTTTGTAATGACTGGTGTTGGTAACATCTTGCTAAATGTTTCAGATGTGCAGGATTATGTTGCTATGAGGGTCGTGGTGGATTGTGTTCCGTACGACTTAGTGTCCCATTGCTGAAACTAAGACCAAGAAAAGATCTGATCGAAACACTTCTTGTAAGTCATTAAAGAAAATAAAAACAAGTTATAAATAATCGTCATTGTTTACCATTTACTTTTGCCTGTTATTTCTAATTAATTTTGTTCTCATGATTTTGTGTTCTTTGTTTGGAAATATAACACTGGAATTATTTTTCAATCTTTTGTACCATTTGATGTTGATCTGGACCAATAACTGTGTGCAAAATTCATGTCTGACATTGGCTTAATATGTTAAAGAAATTACATTGGATGTATCAGCTTAAAAGTTGACCTAGATTATAAGATATTATTTTACATTTCAGCATGAGATGATACATGCCTATCTGTTTATCACAGACAACAACAAGGTAATATAATACTGAGATTTAAACAAGAGCACCGCTAGGCGGAGCATTATATGCCCGAAAGTGTTTTTTTTTTTTAGTAAGGATGAAGCATTTGTAAGAAATGGGAATAATCTGTTCATCCTATAAAATTTTACAGCTGTAGGTTGATTAATACTTAAGTTATAAATAATGACCTTAACCTTTGACCTTGTGACCCCAAAATCAATAGGGGTCTTCTACCTAATATGGACAATAATCCCATGAAGTTTGAATATTGTGGGCCAAATGGAACTTTACTTATGCTCCGAAAACTGTTTTCAATTTTAAGGTAATAGTGACTTTGACCTTGTGACCCAAAATCAATAGGGGTCTTCTATCCAATATGCACAATCATACTATGAAGTTTGAATATTGTGGGCCAAATGGAACTTAAGTTATGCTCTAGAAACTGTTTTCAGTATTAAGGTAAAAGTGACTTTGACCTTGTGACCCCAAAATCAATAGTGGTCTTCTACCAAATATGGACAATCATCCTAAGAAGTTTGAATATAGTGGGTCACATGGAACATATGTTATGCTTCCGAAACTTTTTTTGGTTTTCAGGTAATTGTGACCTTGACCTTTGACCTTTTGACACCAAAATCAATAGGGGTGTTCTACCCATTATGGACAATAATCCCATGAAGTTTGAATATTGTGGGCCAAATGAAACTTAAGTTATGCTCCGGAAACTGTTTTCAGTTTTAAGGTAATAGTGACTTTGACCTTTTGACCCCAAAATCAATAGGGGTCTTCTACCCAATATGGACAATCATCCTATGAAGTTTGAACATTGTGGGCAAAATGGAACTTAAGTTATGCTCCGGAAACCAAATTGCTAACGGACGGACCTGTTTTCAGTTTTAAGGTAATAGTGACTTTGACCTTTTGACCCCAAAATCAATAGGGGTCTTCTACCCAATATGGACAATCATCCTATGAAGTTTGAACATTGTGGGCCAAATGGAACTTAAGTTATGCTCCGGAAACCAAATTGCTAACGGACGGACAGACAGACGGACGCCAGGGGGTATAACATAATATGCCCTTTTGGGCATATAAAAAAATAGTCGCACAGCCGTTTTGAAGTTTGTCTTTTATATTGGTAAAATATAAAAAAAGCTTTTTAACATTCACACGTGTGCTTTATAAAATTTAAAGTCTTTTTAAACTTTACTGCTGATAGCATATGAACTATGCTTTCCAGTATAGTTGAGTCATTTGAGAAATTTAACTTTTTATTAAAAGTAAGAGTCAAATAGGCTATCAATTACAAAATTAAAAACTGTTGATAACAACATTCAGCAATATATTATTCCTTTATTTTTTCTTATTTTGGTAAATGTTACATGACTGTTTTATGTTGTAGGATCATGATGGGCATGGACCAGAATTTCATAAACATATGTATAGAATCAACAACGAGGCAGGAACTAATATTTCTGTAAGAATTTCTATCATACTATATTCAATTTTATAAATTTCATTTAATTTATTGGATTATTTTAAAATATATTGAGAATCATCAATGTAGATAGATTTTTCTTGAATACAGAGAATATTTAATATAATTGTATATTCTTTGTGTCCATAAAACTCCATATGTTTATTGACAAATTTTTAGAGATGAATGTTTGTTTCATTATTTATGTAGGTATATCACAACTTTCATGATGAAGTGGATTCCTATAAGCAACACTGGTGGAGGTGTAACGGTCCGTGTCAAAATCTCAAACCTTACTTTGGTTATGTTAAACGCTCGATGAATCGAGCACCTTCAAAGAATGATACTTGGTGGTCTCGGCATCAGCAAACATGTGGCGGAACTTACACTAAGGTGAAAGAACCAGAGAATTATGGGAAAAAGAAAAAAGATAAGGAGAAAGATAAGGAAAAAGATAAGGAAGATTCAAAGAAAAAGGACAAAGGATCTGGTATGAAAAACAGAATAGTTTATGTTCTTTTCTTTTGTTGATATACTTGAATGTGTTTGTAGTGTCTTGGCTTTTAACTGGCGGATGAGAATTTTAAAATAAAATTTCTTTATTTGAAAAGAATTCAAAATCAGTTACTGTAAGTTTAATAAAGTCAAGCACTGCCCTGATAGTAACTTTTGTCTTTAAGTTATGATTGCACTGCTCAATATCTGAAATAATTTGGCAGGGGCATAATTATGTTTATTATTCTTTAAAAACAAATAAAAAGTTTTTTGCAGACTTTAAAAAAACTACATGGGTGACTTTGTTAACACAACAAATCTGTTTTTTATTATCTGTCTGTATATAAACTGTAGATTAGTTGAAAGAGACCAATATATCTTTTTCTTTAATTGTTATGGATATCTGGACAGCCACCTACCAATAACTTATTGCTCAGTATTTGCATGTGAGGTAAGGCATCTGTCTGCAGGAATCCTGAATTCATTACCTCGATTTTATATTAGAAATACTCACCTATCAGCGGTGTATAACATGACAACACATTGAATACAGAACTTTAAGCAAATGACCTGTAAGTAAGATTGCTCTCTGATGAGATTAGGCAATAGCCATCCTGATTCAAGCATAAAATACAAATGTAGACCGAATATTCAATTTATGCATCTCACAGCTTATTCCAGTTTCCACAATTACAGAGATATTATCATAGTTTTAAAGTTCATTTTCAGCTCCACTTTTTGGAGAGAAAAAATGCAGGTATTGTCAAGTTTTCATTTATGGTCACTAACTTAAATACTTATAAAGCTATGAAGGGTAATAGTTCAAGATAAGTTTTCTCAGAAACTATCAAAGCAATTCACTTTAAGCTTGGTTTGCTTGTTAACTATCATCATGTGATGCTATGGACCATTATAAACAATTAATTAGTCTTACCTTTTTTTTTCCAGAAAAATCGTCAGTGAAAAATATGGATATCAGGATATTTGGAGGTGAAGGTAAAACTTTAGGAAAAGTAACAAAGTCAACAAACACAGTTCCAAAATCTAATAGCCCAATACCCAGTCCAAATATTACTAGTGCCAATAATAAACCACCAAATTCTATAAATAGACCTAAGCCAACTTCAACAGTTTCCAGATTTGATGATAATATAACAAAGGGATACAAAACAGAACAGCCAGTGAATGGTCATGTGACTATCTTACCTGGAGCAGTAACACCTAGTAAAACAGGTGTTTCTAAAAATAAACCTGTCAGTCAAGGAGGAGTGGCCAAGTTTAATGATAAAAAGAAGATTAAGAAGATTGTAAATATACCAGATTTCTCAGACTCTGATGATGACGACGAATTTCTTTGCTCAATTCCCATTTCTAATTTATCAAATACCTCCATTTGTTCAACAGCGGTTGACCGCAATAAAAGTGCTCAGGAAAGTTCTCAGTGGAATAATTCCAGTATCGGTGATACAAGCATGATCTGTGATACTTCAAATTCAATTACAGATCAATTAAAAGATAATAAAGTGTTCAAAGATAAACAGGAAACAGAGACTGGTAGTGACGTTACTAATTTAGATGATAAACAATTTAGAGGAACAGATAATGAAGTGAATGATGTCAGAGCTATGTTAAGAAAGGTATGGGGACAAAAACAATTTGGAAACCAAACAAGTAAAATGAAAGTTAAAGGTACATTCAAATCTGTGATTCCAAATTTAGACACATCAAAGGCATCTGATTGTAGTTCCAATAAAGTTGTCACAGGAGCTCATAAAAGATTGTCTGGGGATTCAGGGTTTGGAGAAAAATCTGCTAAAAGGCACAAAAACAATAATATATATACATCAGGATCAAATAATTCTGACGTAGATAAGAACAGTCAGATAGAAAAGACTTCTCCCGTGAAACAATTAACTTCACCAATTGATAAATTTTTCAAAAAGACCGAGTCAGGGTCTACTACTCAGAATGATTCTCATCAGAGTGCAAGTGTCTGTGATAAAATATCTGTGATAAGGGGAGATAATTCAGGAAATAACAATACCACGACAGAGACTACTTCTGACGTGTCTCCATGTCCAGTTTGTAGTAAAATGGTGCCAACAACTTCTATAAATGATCATTTAGATCTTTGTTTAACTATGCAAGCAATCTGAGCCCAGGGGCCCATAAAATTTTATCTAGACTTATTTCAAGATTAATGGTACTATCCTACACCTGAACTTTTACCTCTGAAGCTGCATATCCAAGCTTTTTAAAGTTGTGAGAACTGTTTGGCCAGCTGTCTGATTGGCAATATGTGTTGAAGCATCTATTTGAAAAGGTGTTTAAAATAAATGTTGTATTGAGTGATAGAAATACAAAAATTTGAAGAAAAAAACTATGAAATATGAACTTAAAAATCTCTTGGTTGAAGTTTGATAATTATGGAAATTGAAGTTATTCATTTAAACTGAAACATTTCCGAATCTTATTGTACGTCACGGTCACTGTCATCTAGTACCCATGATTTTTGTGTCATATAGGGATCACTTCTCTGTTGTCTGTCCATTGGTTTGTCATAAAACTTGTACAGACTACTCCTCAAAAAGTAATGGTGCAATTTCATTCAGACTTTACAGGAATGATCAGTACCAAGTCTAGTTGTGCATATCATTGGCATTTTCCCGTTCATTGATTATTGTCAGAGTTATGGCCCTTTCATTATTTTTATTTTTAAATTTTGTCCGGACTACTCTTATATCACTAATGCAATTTTGGTGAAACTTCAAGGATTAATTGGTAGCTCAGTTACTTGCCGTTTTTACACGGATTTTCCGGTTAAATGATTTTTAGGTTGAGTTATGGCCCTTGAATGAAAAGGGTGTTAATGTTTGTCTGGACTAATCCTCTTATACCACTAATGCAATTTCAATGAAACTTTACAGGATTGATCAGTAGCTCAAGTTCTTGCGCATACACAGGTTTTTAGGTTGAATAATTTTTGGCTGAGTTAAGGCTATCATGAGGCGACACATATGATCACTGATCGCTCTTGTTTCCAGAAAAGAAATAAACCTCTTTGTGAACATATATAATTCTTGTATTATCCATAGTCTGTCTGAAAGCTATTATTTACCTCTTTACTAGTAGATGCCACTTATTAAGTAGACCTGTCTAGACCATTTCTATCTTGGGCAATGTATATTTAATGGAATATAAATTTTCTATTGACATAATTTTGCTTCTTCTTTTTTCCAAAATGGCAACAATAAGATATCTGATAATAAAATGAGCCTCTTAATTACCTATGTATTTATAACTTGGAGAAAATGCATTTGGTTTCCTTATAATATTAATAATCAGGGCAAAATTGACGTTGCATAGAAACAAAGAAGTTTGTGTACACAAATGTTGTTGTTACTATAGAATGTCACACTTGCCCTGATAATCATAAGAGAAACCAGTTGGCAAATCATTAAATTAAATAACTCATGGGCTTTGTTTTTTGTTGTTGTTTTTGTGCCCCCACTTTAGTGGCGGGCATTTAGATTTACCCTTGTCCGTCAGTCCGTCCTTCCTTCCGTCTGTTCTCTTTTGTGTCGCACGTAACTCAAAAAGTATTTGACCTAGAGTCATGAAGCTTTACAGGAATGTTGATCAGCATGTGAAGTTGTGCACCTGGGTATTTTCGTCTGGATATTTTTAGAGTTATTGCCCTTGACTTAGTAAAATTTTGCAATTTTCAACTTGTGTCGCATGTAACTCAAAAAGTATTTGACCTAGAGTCATGAAACTTTACAGGAATGTTGATCAGCATGTGTAGTTGTGCACCTGGGTATTTTCGTCTGGATATTTTTAGTATTTTTAGAGTTATTGCCCTTGACTTAGTAAAATTTTGCAATTTTCAACTTGTGTCGCATGTAACTCAAAAAGTATTTGACCTAGAGTCATGAAACTTTACAGGAATGTTGATCAGCATGTGTAGTTGTGCACCTGGGTATTTTCGTCTGGATATTTTTAGTATTTTTAGAGTTATTGCCCTTGACTTAGTAAAATTTTGCAATTTTCAACTTGTGTCGCATGTAACTCAAAAAGGATTTGACATAGAGTCATTAAACCTTATGGGAAGGTTGCTCAGCATATTTAGTTTTGCACCTGGGGTTTCGCTTGTGGATTTATCCAGTTTTTGTAGAGTTATTTCCCATGACTTAGTAAAAACTGTTTCATTATGTTGTTGTTATTTGTTGCTTGAGTTAGAATCGACCAACTTTACAGGAATAATGAGTTATTGCCCTTGACTTACAGTAAAATAAATTTGCAATTTTCAACTTTGGGTTTGCTTGTGGATTTATTCAGTATTTGTAAAGTTCTTGCCCTTTACTGAGTAAAAGATTTTTAGTTTTCAAAAAATATTTGACCTAGAGTCATAAGATTGACAGAACAGTGGCGCGGTGGGGGGCACCCGTGTCCTATGGACACATTTCTAGTTTTTTATTATATTGACATTTTTCCAGCAGTTATTTTTCTTTCAATGTGTATATTCAAATTGTCATTCCATGCCTTTTTTTTATCATTTTGATTGTCTGTTTGATGAGATTTAAAGAGACAGGCATAACTTTGATGAGTCTTTGCTACTGGTTTATTGGCTTGTGTTTACTGTAAGAACATGTTGATGTTTGACGTCAAAATTTTAAAAGAATAATATAAGCGCAGCACAGTATATTTATAAAAATATATATAAATATAGCACTGCAAATAATTCAAGAGGGTCATGATGTTATTAACATGAATATAAAAACTCTTAATGACAAGGCACAAGTAATATTGTTAACTATAAAGAAAGCAGGTTTATAACTTTAATCTTGAACTGATACTTCAAAGCTGATATTTATATCTAAAATAGTGCATGTTTAAAACCATTACTGGTTGCTATTGCTAAGGGAAAACAATTGTTACTAAAGAAGTCACTGGTTGCTATACAATATAAATGGTTTCCTTAGAAGTTAATGCCTGCTATGAAATTCAATGGTAGATTCACTCATTGCTATGGAAAGTAAATGTTTGCTATGGAAGTCACTGGTTGCTATGTTAAAAGGCAAGGGTTACTATGAAAGTCACTTGTTGCTGTGGAAGTCAATGGTTGTTATGGAAAGAAAACAGTTGCTATTTGATTCTTAAGTTGCTATTGAAAGTCAATGATTGCTATTTAAAGTCAATTATTGTGATGACAGTCACTAATTGCTATTTGAAGTCACTGATTGCTACGAAAGTTAAAAGTAGCTGCAGAAAGTCTATGGTTGCTATGGATATTCAGTGATTGCTATAGAAGTTAATGGAAAGTCAATGCTTGCTATAGAGATCGAAAGTAAAAGGTCAGTGGTTGCAATAGAGGTCTCTTGATGCTGTAGAGTCATTGGGTGCTAAAGAAGTCTATGGTTGCTATGAAAGTCTCTGGTTTCTATGAAAGTCTGTGGTTGTTATGGAAAGTCAATGGTTGCCTTGGAAAGGTACTTGTTAATATGGAAAGTCACAGTTGCTAAAAAGGTCTGGTTGCCATGAGAAGTCAGTGGTTGCTATGGGAAGGGGGTTTAGGCAATTTTGACTCCAGGGCTATGATTTGAATAATTTTTTTAAGGTCCACCAGACTAAATATCAAAGATAGAGCGGATCATATAGCCCTTGCAGTTTTCAAGAAGATTTTTTAAATAATTATTATACAAGGAAAAGCTTTGACCCCCTAGGCAGGGCTAGTTTTGACCCAAGGGCTCAATTTGAACAAACTTAGTAAAGGTTTACCAGATAATGTTTCGTATAAAAAAAAGTAAAGCTTTAGCTCTTGCACTTTAAGAGAAGAAATGTTTTTTAAGTTTTGATCATATACATATATTGAGGGAAATCTATGTTCATCCAGAACGAGGCCAATTTTGACCCAATGGCTATAATTTGAACAATGTTTGTAGAGGTTCACCAGACAATGCTTCATATCAAATACATGTATATTTAAGCTTAAGCCAAGATACAGTATAACAGAAGATTTTTTTTTTACTATACATGTACAAATGCAATTATAAGGAAAATCTAAGGGGCCAGTTTTAACCCAAGGGCTATAATTCGAAAAAACTTAGTAGTGGTCTAAGGAAAAACTAAGCTTAAGCTCTTGTAGCTTTAGAAAAGAAAGTTTCTATTAAAGTTTTAACTATATACATAATTATAAAACCTTATATTCCCCCCTGCAAGGGGCCAATTTTTGACTCGGAGCTATATTTTGAACAAGGTTAATAGAGGTTCTCCAGACAATGTTTTCTACCAAATATCTAAGCTAAAGCCTCTATATAAAAGATTTTGTTTTTGTTTTTACAGAGCTTCATACCAGGATCTTTCCTTCTCACTTTTAACAATATAGACCCATATGTATAGGAGGAGAGGGTATTATAAGAAAAAGTTTGACACAGAATAATCCCACTTATCACTTTGTGCCAAAAAATGGGAAAGAGGAGGAAAATCAAACACCAACAACTGATAATGTAACAGAACCATACTTTTAATAAAATTTTCCATTTCAAAAATTTAGTAATGATAACATTGTTTCACTCCAGTTATGAAACTTTCTTCTGTTCAAGGAGAAACATGACCCCACTTTAGGGGGAAAATATATCATCTTTTGGCTAGTGGATACAGCCTGTATAAGGCCGTAAAATGCAATGTATGCAGAAAAAATAATCACTGATAACAATGTAACCATTACAAATAAAAGACTATTGAGTCATTAGAGAAACAAAATTGTTGGAGGATAAAAAAGGCACATTATCACAACCTCCTTACGCAATATACAATAATAAGTAATCTAAAATCGTAGTGTATAACTCGTCTCCTTTCACACAAACATGATGCAAATTAAAGTCAATGTCACACAAACTACATCCATCCATTCTGAAAGACTTGATGAAGCTGCTTGATACTGCATCTGAAACAAGAAAAAACATGTCAGATTCTATGCCAGCAACATTATACCTTTGCCTTAAGAAATGTATTGAGTGACAGTATTTTTGTTGTTATTTCACCTGACAATGTTTCAACAAAAGACCATATTATATGATACTTTTAATATGTTTCAATTGGCATTTTTTTTACTAAACTTGGGTTTCTTAACAGATTAGAATCACTATCCAACTTTGTCAAAATGTTTATCTCGATGAAATCTTGGAAGAGTCAGAACAAAGGTCATCTGGGGTCAAGACATAAGTCACCAGGTCACCAAAGGAAACCTCTGCACCACTTTTTTTAGCAGTTGTTATAGAAACTGACTCAAAATGTCTGCCATGATGACTGTAAAGTCAAATTTGTGTAAATCATAAGGAATTCTCGTTAACATTCTATGGATTACTGTTTGATTGAATCATCATCAAATTTGGTCAAAATGATTCTCTTAATGCGGAACATCTTTTATAAAATCTTAATGACAGTGTTCATATTGTGAATCAGTCTTCATGATTTCTAAGTAACATTTTGAACCAAATACTTAAGTTTTTAACATAAAGGTCTTCGAAGAGGAAGTGTTTAATCTGTTATTTCAATGGGACATAAAAATGTCAATAATAACTTTTCAGTTAACAATACAAGTATTCAATTTCAGTGAAAGGTGCTACACTGCAACATATTTTTTTACGAGTAAAATTGCTACAACTTCATGATATGTATTTTAGAGAAACCTCAATAAATGATAACAAGGCTATTATTGCCCCAGAGTGTTCAACCAAAGATTCATCCTTAGAAAAGGCTGCAGATGGAGATGATTGGGGCCATTCATTTCTTCAACCAATGCGCATGACTTATAAAACTTTTGTACAGGTCCACTTGGAAATACAACATGACAAATATTCAAGCTCTAGAACATCTATTTTCAGAGAAGATTATAATTAAAAGTACTTTTCCTACATGAGTTTATGTAACTTAGTAACCCCAAGGAAAGGCAAATTTTAACCCAAGGAGCATAAGTAATAGAAAGAATTGTAGAGGATTCACACAGTCAAAAGACTTGTGTTATCCTGTAAATCTTTATAAACTGAGTGACCCCAAGGGCTGGGCAAACAATTGTGATTTATTTAACTTTCATCAAATAGTGTGGAAAGGTGTAACATTATCTGCAATTGGAGGAAAAATCAAAATCAGTTAGGTTTAAAACAATTACCAATCAATTAAATGTCAAATAATGAAAATCAGGATAACCAGCTTCACATACTTCTTCCCTCAGTTTATATCACTCTAAAATATTACACTGGTTTTCCTCATTTTATAAAATTTTGAGGGGAAAATTACAATATACAGTGAAATTGTGGAAAAAAATATACTTTTTCAGATGGATCATGGGGAATGTGGCCGAATTTTGGCCTCAAATCTGCCTTCTAAAAAAAAAACCACTGAATAATGTAATAAATGTACATCAAACCTTATCACACATCATATGTCAAGATTGCCGATTTTGTCCTGCACCTCCCAGTCCACCTGTAAGTTTCTTTTCTCCTTCAGACATTGTTTGTTGTTCTTTTGCCAAATATTTCTGAACTCCTACCTTCACATCCTACAAATGGTAATAATAAGAATATTGTAATCACACAAAAATATATAATATTACATCTGTAACACTAATGGATGCTCCTTGAAGCATGGTCTTGTAATGCAAAAACAAAAACATTTATCTATTTTTAACCCCTAAAACCTGCTAAATTGCCATGAAGTATAGGTCCATGCAGGGCACCTTCATCAAATATCCAACATACTTGTTGAATGACCTTTTGTAATGTTATCTACATATATATTATAAGTTCATGCAAATTATCTATACAGTATAGAGGACAGTGAATGAGTGTGAGTTCAATACTGAATTGATTGAATGAGTTTAATATAATTATATTTTGCAACAAGTTCAATTAATTTAGTAATGAACTTACACTTATTATTATTTATATAGTATTCTGTTTATAGTATGCATGTGATAAAATGTAATATCTACATTACAAGCTCTGAATTACAGTAAAAATACTTCCAGTCTCAATTTATCAAACCCAAAAGCCTAGAGCTAAAAATTTGTTGGGTAGCATTGTCTAGTAGACCTCAATCAAGTTAGTAAAATCATGACCATAAGGGTTTGGGCCAAACTTGGCACCGTCCTGGAAGTTTAACTTAGACTCATGTAGGTAAAACCATAAATGTTCTCTTTAAGGTGTACAGATTGTATATTGATGTCAAGCCCCCTATTTGCTGACGACAGCCTGATCTACAGGAAAATCAAATCAGAAGCCGACGCATTAGCTGTCCAAGAAGACCTTGATCACCAAGAAAAGAAACTGTACCTTTGGCTATCCGCCTGTGGACTTACAGAGCACCTAACCACAGAAGTCAACCTCAAGGTCTTCAATGGATGACTAGTCATGGGGCCCTAATATGCTGGAGTTGATTTTACATTTAACCTGTTCTTCTTTATTCGCTGACAACATTTTGTACATACACCCTATATATTAATGCCCAGGAGCGGGTTATGTACAGTACCGGAAGAAGAAGAAGAAAATTGACAAGGTTTATTCAAAATATGACCCTGGGGTCAAAATTGGCCCCCTCTACAGAGTCATTTGATTTAACATACTACTTATATAGGAACAAGAGCTGTCGCCCAAGTGACGAATGCCCCCGAAAAGGTTTCTTAAGCATGCAGGTATTATGAAAAGAAAAGAAAATGAAAGTAACTAATTGCTGAATATTGTTCTTTGTATTATTGTACCTGTAATCTCTAATTGTGATAGCATGAACCTTCAAAATATAAGTGTGACCTTGACCTTTGAAGAAGGAACGTGGTTCCTGGACGCGACAAAATGTTGTTATGAGATAGACATTTGTGCCAAATTATTTCAAAATCCTTCAATGCATGACAAAGTTACAGTCTGGACATAATTGTTAAGAAAGTGGGGACAGATGGACATGAGCCTTAGCAGCGACACATTGTCTGGATGTGGTAGACATCTGTGCCAAGTAATTTTAAAATCCTTCCATCAATGACAAAGTTACAGTCCGGACATGAATGTGTATCTTCAAACTCTTCTAGACAGAATGAGTACCTTCAAACTATAAGTGTGACCTTAACCTTGAAGGTAGGGACATGGGTCTTTGTCGCGGCACATCGTCTTGATGTTGTAGACATTTATGCCAAGTTATTTTTAAATCCTTCAATGCATGACAAAGTTACAGCCCGGACACAATTGTGTGACCCTATTTATTCTAATTGTGATAATGTGAAACTTCAAAATGTTAGTTAGCCCAACAAATTGTGCGCTTTAGGGCTTTTTTATATAGATAGACACAGGGCCCACACAGTGTTTGGATGGTATATACTGCTTGATAGTGACCTTAAAATGAGATTTTAGTCATAACCTTATAATATGTATATATTTATATACATATTATAAGGTTATGACTAAAATCTCATTTTAAGGTCACTATCAAGCAGTATATACCATCTTATATACATATTATAAGGTTATGACTAAAATCTCATTTTAAGGTCACTATCAAGCAGTATATACCATCCAAACACTGTGTGGGCCCCCTGTGGATAGACATCTATGAAATATCAGATTATAAAATCGGTCTGTCTGGCCGTCGAAATATTGAGACTAAATGTTAGTGTGACTTTGACCTTTGTGGTACTAGAGACGTAATTCTTGGACGCAACACATCATCTTGATGTGGTAGACATTTATGCCTAGTAATTTTAAAATCAATCGATGCATGACAAAATTACAGTCCGGACACAATGTGTGTACCTATTTACTCTAATTGCGATAATGTGATTAACTTCAAAATGATAGTGTGACCTTGACCTTTGAGTTAGGGACGTAGTGCTTGGAAGCGACACATCGTCTTGATGTGGTAGACATTTGTGCCAAGTTATTTCAAAATCCCTCAATGTATGACAAACTTACAGTCCGGAAAATGAAGTGGGATAGACGGTGCGATTATATTATGCCTCCCTTTGAAGGCATAAAAATTTTATGTAACTGTAAAAGTGTAATGCCCAAAGTTTTGATATTTGGTCTGAGGAATTGTATAGTTGACAACTAGCAAGTTTTTTTTTTCAATTTTACATATGATTTTTTTTTTTTGGGGGGGGGGGGGGGGGGGGGAGACCATAGGACGAAAACATTGATATTCAGTAATTAAGGTACGAACTTGATCGGGTACGAATGAAATAACTGTAATTCACAAGTAAACTGTTTAAAAAGTATTCTTACATCTCGCTCTAATTTGTGAATAATATGAACGTATGAAATTATCCCAAAACACACAGCAGTTGATGCTGCAAATGTGAGTTTCGCTCTTAGTGACATTTTCGATGAAACGATTAAGAGTTACATGCTCTTGAATACTCTCTTTATCACGTTCAGCAGTCTACTAAATCGGTTTGTTACGGCTTACGAACGCATAACCGGATAGTAAATGTTTATTGAGTATGCCTATTCATTAATTCTTATAATATATATCCCAATGAATAATGTCAACCTAGAAAAAAAAGCAAGAAAGTAAAAAAAAGTAATTTAAAAGAAGAAAATGTTTAACCAGTGGGTGAGACTGAATGATGTATGCTTACATATTTTAATAATAATAGTTTTATAATAACAAGGTTTTTATTTCATGAAGGTAACATAGGCCTATAAGAAATACATGTCTTATTTACAATGTTGTTTAATAAACAATAAAAAACACAAATTTGTACTGTACTACACACATATTTATATAATTAAGAAATATATATACAAGTAGAGATTTTGATGCTAAAGCATCAAGTCGCCGGATAGAAAAATGATTGTATTATCATAAATATAAGAAAATATAAATTTAATGGTTCAAGTATAAAAATAAGAGGAACAATGAGTTGAGTAATGTTTGCCACTGAGGCTTGTAAGGCAAGTGCTATGCTGGTAATTCTTCTTGTAATTGTACTTTATACATATACTTTGTTACCATACATTGAAATCCGTATAGGTTACTAGTTCTGATTCAGATAATTACCGACAAATATTTCATGAAACAATACAATTTTACTGTAAAAGTGTTGTACATCATTATTATAAGCTATAGAAAAAATATATAATTTAGTTGAAATCAATTCATGTATTCGCATCGTTACATACGATATACAAAAATTAACGTTTAATTGCCTTTCAGTGCGATAAACTATCAACACAAAGATAGTTTGTTATTTTTTTCTATGTATCTAATAAATACGATTCCGGACCCCTACCGTCATACCGTTTTGGAAACCTGCATGATGGAAACCGACGGAATATACCGAAATCAACGATTACCATTATATATGTCAATAATGTGCCTCTTTAGCATAAAATTATTTTGGGATGTTCAACCTAAACTAAACTTTTGAATTTTCTTGTTGAAAGTTTGACAGAAAGGGCCAAGTTTAACCCTTTACCAAGAAGAAAGGAAAAGGTTTTGAAAATTTATTTTTAATGTGTAAAATATGAGTAAACAGGTTTTTCTAATGATATAAAGTATGAAACTGATTAATGAAAATTAACGTATAAAATTATCTGTACAAAATTACAATGATTTGCATCATATCAGCTGCCAACCATTAACAAGTTACCTGTATGTCTTATCAGCAATCTGTTACTATTAATAGATTTTATAACGCTATACAACATTTATAAACATGTAGTCACGTGAATCTTACGAAATACCAGGGAGAATTTGTTTATAATTAGATAAAATAATGTCATATAATCGGTCTCATAAAATATAAACAACCAAATAGTTTTAAAGTGTCATTTCAAATATCATTCATGATTTATATATTTTAAAATAGCAATGCTTGACACATAGAAAAAAGTAAAAGTAACCCTAATATTCAATGACTGATCCTTGGGGATACGTTATTGATTCATTTTATGGAAATTGTAATGTTGCTTTTTAAGATGTCAATATGTGCATATTTCATTTCACTGAGCAAAGTTATCATATGTTTGAATTTTTGAGATTACTGAAAAATTATTTTTGTCTTTAATTGTTCAATGATTGATATGCTTTTATTTTCAGATTTAAGGGCTTCTCCTACCATAGGTATAATATTAAACTGTTACAAATATAGTCGCCGGTTTCTACCGGCGACTAATAACAGCAAGCATTTTAATTGATAGACGCAAGCATACATCAGATGATTCAAATTGCATATCAAGCACATGTTGTTGTGTTTTTTTTCTCATATTTTTCTTTTAAAACATCAAGTAATGAGGATTCTTTAATATATAAATGCAAATTATTCCAGACTTGCACGCATAGCTATAAACATAAAAGTTCTTATAACATAATTTGCATTAGGTCTTACATGTAGGACTAATTATTGTGTTTCTATTAGCACTTGATCAATGTGTAAACGTTTCATTTGTGTAAACGTTTCATTTTTTAAGAACACTAGAATATCTGAAATGTCCTCATTCGTTCCTTAACAGAGCTAATTAACATTAATTTATCTGTAAAACAAGTCTCTGATTCTGTGTATAGATTTAAATACGAATACTGCAATTTGAAAAGTGCGTCTGTTGTTAAAAGTTAGCTTGAGTTAAGTTGTTGTAAAGATTGTTGGCGTTTTAAGTAGTTAACATGATATTATCTTTGATGTGTGTTTCTGCAATTTATTCAAATTGTTTTTTTCTAATACAAGTACTCCATATTACACAACAATAATCAAAACAATGCAAACTAAAGACGTAAAACATTTCTTCCAATTCACCGCCAGGTTAACTCAATTTGTAGAGCGTTTACTTTCAATCGGACTACCCGAGTTCTATTCCCGGACGATGCATTTTTTATAGTATATACATTGTATATGGTATTTTTTTTAATCGTTATTATTTTTTTGTTTTGGATAGAATTTCGGGTTTCTGTGATCTGGTGCATGAATAGTAGTATCGTCAGCATACATGTCTATGTAATAGTGTGTTGTATTAAATGGCATAGTATAAACGTAGAAATGAAGAGTATTAAAGGGTATAGTGTAGAAGCCAGATGAACCACTGATTCTACCGTTCCACTATAAGAATGAGTATTTCCGTATTTGACAACATGTGACGTATTGTGAAGATATAATTTGAAAACTTTTATAGATGTGTTTGAGAATTTGTATAATTTATCTTATTTGCTAATATTTTGTGATCTACCAAATCAAATGCCTAAGCTTCTTTAGGTCTAAATAAAACTGTGCCGATCAAACAACCCAAGAATTTTATAAGACTTAGTCTTTCGTTCTCATCATTTTCTTTGAATATATTATATATTTGTATTCTGATTGTATTGTATTATGTATATCATGTACATATTCGGGAAATAAATATGTTTAAACTAAACAACCCGACCTCATTTATAATCATTCAGGAAGGATTCTTAAAGTCGTATTAGAGCTGACAGACGATTTTTTCCTGAAACATGGCAGACTTTCATTAATTTTATGATATTAATTTCCTATATATACATGTGTAATAGTGACGCAATACCCTTTTCATATTATGTTTTTTTTATATGTTAGCAAAATAGGTCTATAATTTCTAAGGTCCTCTTTTGGACCATTTTTATAATTTGGAAGAATATTTGCTTCCTTAAGTTTTTTTTTATGGAAAAGTGCCAATTTTAATAGAATTATTAATGATAGAGCCTATAGCAAATATGCTTCGATAGCCTTTGATTAGTACATGTATAAACGGCCCAATTCCATCTGTTCAATTTAATCTGTCCTTCTTAACGTTGACGTCATCATTAAAATATTTCTTTTTGTGTTGCTTAATTAAATTAATTGTTTTATTACGCCATAATTTATGTTAATTCCGCTGATACGATATTTTATAACTATCTCTTTTCAATACGACTGCACATTTAGCTGCTCTGGGAAAGGAGAGTATGACAACTGAGGACAGATATTTATTTCTTGCATATCAGACTGGCGTTTCCGTTAGTTTTACCCATGCCGGAAATTTCATCTGGCATGGGGGTTCCAGATGAGTCGCGTGCTGTACAATGGCACGATAAAGATGACGTCATTTTACCGTTATGAATGATTTTGTAATTCATACGCTGTTGAATGAAAGTAGTTACGGTTGTAATGATATAAATTTTCATTTAAAATAAAGATAAAGAATTTAAAATATAATGGAATATGGTAGAATATGCAAGAAAAAATATCTGACAATATATCTCTGATCTCGGCAAGCCTCGTTACCGCCCAATGGGCGGGTCACCTCGGGACGGATATTCCGATCCGAACCGCAAAATATGACAGATATTATTAATAACAAGTTTGTAATATATGCAGAGGGTGATAAGAGGTTCCAACGGTAAACAGTCCTAATGGTAAACACTCCCAGGAAAGAAAGAGAATTTATAGTCTGATGTTGCTGTAAACAAGTTATAGCTCATGTGATGGCAATGGAATGATGTTCGGGAGAGTGGGATGGAACAGCAACCAGACAATGGAAAAAATATGAATTTTATAGCTTAATTTATTGCTTATTCGTTCTCTATTGTAAAACATCGACTCTTCCTGTATACTTCGGATAAGATTTCTTTTCCTAATGCTCGTATGGTATGGAATAAACATTATGGTAAAAATATAGTTTTCGGATCAAAACAGTCGATCTACCGAAAATCATTACCATACACTTATGATATACAACCTTTCCCTTAGCCTCACCTTTATTTGGTCATATAATAGAAAGACCATAGAATCACCATGCTATCTGATTTGTACGAGGGGGCGTAGCCTCCTAGTGTAAATCAGGTTGCCGAGTGTTTTGATGTTCTTAATCTTCTGTATCATAAGTAAGGCAAAAATAAAAAACACATACACGTTCCTTGTCACAATATGAATAATAAATAAACTCCAGAAAAAAAGACTGCCCTCAAAGAATTTTATCATTTATAATTTGTAAGAAAACAAGGGCAAGACAGTTTGGTTGACCAACTGTTATCATTGAAATTCATGCTGTCGACCATAGAACAACTTTAATTATTGCACATTTCTGGTCTTCTAATACAACAATTGTTAGATGCATACTGGTAGTCCACTAGTATTACAGAGATGTCCACTATTCTGCAAATGTACTAGGCTTTACAGGTACTTACCTGTCCTTAATAAAAACAAATGTTTCAAGCTGGAAGTGAATAACGTTAACGTTTTTTTTTAGAAAAAGGCAATATTCTAAATAAAAAGGGAAGTGATTTAGCAAGATGGCTTTCGTGATAACCTATCCCTTGTATATCAAATATGATAGTGGTCAAGTACACCAACTTTTAAGTGGATATCTTTAATGGTCTTTGAAAAAACACCATATACAAAAAAGGATAACCAAACAATTTAAAGTAAAAAGGGGCCATAACTGAATAATGATCAATAAATTATAACTTTGCCTGCCCTTTACAAAATACACTCCCAATTTTAAACGGAAACAGTTATTCCAAGTTTTAAGTGATTAAAACTTTAATACAGTCCTTAGGAAATTGGCCTTAGCAAAAAGTAAAACAGAGACATTCTTTTCCAAAAGAATTTTTAGGATTATCTGCTTTACTTAAATGGTGTCATAATTTGAAAGTGAATATGTATACCAAGTTTGAAGTGAATAACTTAAATAGTTTCTGAAAAAGGACCTTAATAAAAAAGTAAACCGGGACAAAAATCTAAGTTGGACAAGGGGAAAAACTAAATTAAAAAACAAACGACAAAAAAAAACAACAACAACATTTTGAAATGGCGTCCTTATAATAAACATGTTTATTAAGTTTGAAGTGGAATAGCTTTCTTGTTTTCTAAAACATGGGCATCAACGAAAAGGTATACCAATGCCGAGACCAACAACGACGAGAGTGGTGCTAAAATGTTGTTGTTGGTGTTAAAATCATTGTTAATATTTCACGTTTTACTGCAAAAAAATCTTTTAGCAGATGATATTGGTATTTTAATAATAATTAACATATGAAAGAAAGACAGAACAGAACAGAAATTTTATTATAGATTTGTACAGAAAACATTATACAATCTCTACACAATATATGAAGAACAACCTTAAAATAATGAAAGCAAGGGAAACAACATGAATGAAAAACAAGAGCCGCCGCCTTGCTGGGACCACGCTGGACGTTTTCTTATTTCTAAAGTCAGATACAACAGAGGAAAATATTATAGTAAAGAGTACTTTTACAAAAAATATTTTTTGTAACATATGAAATTCACATTTCATATTTGACCGTGACGGTCCAGGTCATTCAAAGGTCAAAGTCACATTTGAATTAATCATAATGTCAGTTTTGTCATAAGTGCTCTTTTGTCCAAGAACGAATCAAATCCATAAGTCATTAACAACCTTATTACAATTTAAGCACATATCAATATTTTGACACTGACGGTAAATGTTAATTCCAGGTCAAGGTTATATCATAATAATTCATCATGTCAGTGTTGGCATGTGTTTCTTTGTCCAAGTATGAGTCAAATCTGTAAGTAAATAACAAAAAAGACAATTTAAGCAAATTTCTATAATTTGACCTGAAGGGTATAGGTAAATTCAAGGTCAAGGTCATATCAGAATAAATCAACATATCGGTTTAGTATCATGTGCGCTTTTGTCCAAACATGAATCGAATCTGTAAATAAATAGCAAAGATACAAAACCAATTGTAGCAAAATTCATTACTTTGAACATGACGGTCGAAAAAGGTCAAGGTCAAGTTCAGTTATATCTTCTTAAATGTCTTGTTCCAAGGATTGTTGTGCTGAAGTTTAAAGAAAATACATTGAATAATTACAAAGTTATAGCTAATCATATAAAAATACAAAAATTTGAACTTCAAGATCAAGGTTATTAATAGGTCAAGGTCAAATTGAATTAGATTTTTTTTAAACATTGTCCTTAAGACAGTTATTCTTAAGAATTCATAAATATCAAAGTTAAAGCCAATTATAGCAAAAAGATTAATTTGACATTTAAGGGAAAGGTCATTGATGAGTGAAGGTCAAAATCAATTTGATCTACTTGAAGGTATCCTATTATCCAAAGAATTGTTTTGTGTTCGAGTATTAAGACAATCCATTCGTACATTACAAAGTTATTTCCAACTATAGCAAAAATAAAGAAATTCAAACAATCGACCTTGAAAGTCAGTCATTTATAAATTAAGAAGAAAAAAAACTAATGGCCAAGATTAAAGTTTCTGAACGGCATCGACAATGGCGGCCTGACTGTAGCAAAAGCTCAAAGTTTTTCTTCAAAGAAGTCGAGCTAAACATCTATCTAATCTGTCTGTGTTCCTGTATGTTCTTTAGGCACTAATCCACCAGTGATGGTGTTGATGCCAAAAGCAGAATTGTTTGCTACAATCTCCATCTTTGATTTTATTGCCCATGCCTGGAAATAAATGTTAAAGTTTGAGCTGTGCGACTTATTTCCTTCAATTATTATTATTATTATTATTATTATTATTATTATTATTATTATTATTATTATTATTATAGTCACTATAAAATCACTATTACACAATTACCGCATTTTCAGACAATTAAACTTATATCTTATATCTTGCATTAGAATAAACGTACGGTGTAATATATCGCATTAAATATTATTATTAATATAGAACATTTTAATAAATTGAATAGAAAGATATTTTGTTCATCTGGTAACTAGGAATAATGTATTCTATATTTAAGATTTTATTAAGATATCCAGTGAACGGTGAATAGTAACAGTATATGCACACCTTTGGTCCAAATATGATGATCATCGTTAATGTGGCATACACTTGTATCTGAGCAAACTCGAAAACCAACATGTAATCTGGACCAATAACGGAGACAAACAGGCGACTGAAAAAACGAACAAAACAAAATAAAAAGCAGCATTCCCATTCACTTACTTAAATTATTGTAAAAAATACTTGTTTAATTTCATTTTAATATACTAGCATTGATATCATTATACATGACAACAGGACTTTGTTAAAAAATAATATCACAAATGCTATGGTGATAAGGTTACCAATGGTATGGGTTAAATAACGCAATTATTTTGTAAATACTATAACAAGAAGTTATAAAAAAAATCGTCCAACATAAAATAATATGACCATGTTAGAGAATGACACTCACGAGGTTAACGACATCACACTTCCTAAGATTATAGCATTGTATATAGCCCAGGTAATGTGCCTGCTCTCGTTGAAAAATGCTGGAGCATTACGAACGGTGAAACACAGGTACACACCGTATAAAAGGAACAGTATCTCAGCTGAAATTAAACACATTTCATATTTATTTCTTAATATCAATCATTTCAGATTTTACTTTTGAAATTTATTGAAAAAGTTAAGTATATGTAGTATTCAAATTCACAAGTCGTTGGTAACTTTCGTTTATTTTGTTCTACTTTTTTTTAATATATCAAATAGCACAAACTGAACCAGAAAAGAAACACTTATTTTGAATACACATACATTTATATGATCTGACTGAAGTAACTCCTTAATAAGAAGTATATTCATAGTCTTTAATATTCTTATTATTCTATAATATATAAATGACTATTAAAGCAACTTTGCAATTTAACTGTATTTTTCATGCGTTAGTAGTTTTTTTCTAAATACAAAATCAATCGTGTCTTCTAAATGTACCTCCTATCAAAGCATACTGCCATGGACTAAAATTGCAAACATGGAACTTAAGACCATCTGTAGTTTTCAGAGTTTCAATGTTTGGTGGTTTGTTGATGTTCCATGCGCTAAGAATTGCAACCACCAAAAGCAGAAGTATACAAAATCTTTGCAGAAGAGCTTTATCTGGTAACCAAAATCGCTTCTGTGTTCGGATTGTTAAAATCATAGAAATTCTGAAATAATATGTTACTGAATTGTTAAATCATATTATCGCAATATTGGAACAAAATATTTCATGATGAACATTAGATTAAAAAAAATTCTACGTTATGTGACCTTAAGAAAAAAGCCTCAATTGTTCAAAACGTTAAGAAGGCGAAACTAATGAGTTTGGCTAACTTACAATATATAAATCGTTTGAACTTTTCGATGTGAGACTTAGTATCAGGGAAATAGTTAGCATGCGATTACTTAAAATATGCTTTTTTTAAGAATACAATTGAAACACGCGTTAGCACCAATCACTATATATTGCATATTTGTTATTGACTTTTGTAGCGCATGAACTATTATGTAATCAATTGTAGTATATTAGAAGTTCTTTTTTTCGACTCTAATGAATTACTATTTTGGAAATGAGAAAGGTATCATCTGAGTTTATAAAATTCGTCATTCTACAATGTAGGTACAAATGCAATGCAAAACAAACTCGCCTACAGTGTCCATAGCGTTTTACATATAGTTCACAATTTCAAGAACGGTTTAAGATTCAGAACAATAACAACAATAAAACAATAAAAGTACGCTGAAAAAGTGGCATACCTCCATGATTTTAATACAAGAGAACCATATATGAAAATGAATCCAACATGGCGTAACCAGACACGAATACTACATGTTATCACCGAAGCCTCTGGATAATTCATGAAAAACTGCAAAAGGAAAAGAAATTCTTAATTTACATACAGACACACACACAAGTTTAACAACATATGCAAATCAAGTACATATACATGACCAATTTGTCAGCTTTTAACATAACAATATATATATAAATGCAAACACTTTTTGTGTATGTAAAATATACAAATATACATTGTTTTTGATTTACCTGACCATAAATAAACACTCCACCAAGACAAACCAGTTCAAGGAATATTGGACTTGCTGCTTTCATTACCTGGAACAATGCGAAAAGCCAAAATAACTTATTTGTTCAACAAAAATCTATTAACATTTAACTACTTTGTTTAAAACGATACAAATGATGTTCTCGCTTAACGTTTTTATCTATGAAATGGAGCAAATAGTCATTTAAGCCAACAGAAACAATTAGCAGTGTTACACTTTAGATTCTACGCTCCAGTTTTAGGAATTAAACAAGAGAGTGAGCTTTTTCTGTACGTTTTTCTGCATTGGTCTCTAGTAACTTATTTCATAACATCAATGTTTCTGTCTTGTAGGACAAAACATCATCATTAGAATTTTGTAAAGATACTGATGGATTTTAGGTTTAGACTGAAAATAAAACACGCCATGCGGCCAAGTGTTCAGCTTCTTTCATTAACATATCTGTAACATATTATTAGAAATATGTTTCCTGTCTTTTGATATAGTGTTAACCAAATTTTGACACAAAAATGGGAAAATGTTAACATATTTATTATTTCTTGCATGCAACTACATATCTTTATTGTAATATATTGATTGGTAAAATGGGTCTATAGAATGTACACATCATGTTATATCCTTTATCCAAATACATAATGATCAATTGATTACATTTTAATGTTCAAATAATTACCGTTACATTTCTATAACAATATGTTCCGATAGAAATGACAATGATTCCTAAAACAGTCAGGACATTTAAAATCATCAGTGTAATGATAAGTGTTTCGTGTCGCTGATGTAAACATGGTGAGGCGTCGACACATGTGTCACATCCGGCTTCGCACGCATTACATTGGAACTTCCCTTTCTCGAAAGTGTTGTTAGAATAACGTGAGAAATTTTCTATCTCCTGTCCTGTAAAAGCATTGACATCAGAATTTGGCCATGGAAAGAAATACCCATCTTCGCACACACATCGATAAGCGCCTGGTACGAACCCCATTCCTTTCTCAGGAACACACTGAATTAATTTAAACATCTTTACAAAACAGAACACATTTTTCTACTAACTTGAACACCCATTCAAAGAAATATATATGAAAAAATGTGAAAAGCAAGATCAGATTCAATGAACGTACGTGACCTATTGAAGTAACTGCTTTACATTATTATCATTTCTCTTATTACAAATGAAGTAATTGTTACATTTATGTAAAATTCATAAATTAGTACTTCTACTGTATTGTAGAATCTATGTCCTCGAAACTTTGTAAATGACGAAACCCTTCAAGCATGACACCAATTTTGGGGCCTTTGAAGTCGAGTGAACGCCATTTATAACTTTCCACGGCTTTTTAATTTATTATTTTATAGCTTTTCAATTAGACATTAAAGTAATAGTATGACATTAATCTATACATGATAAGCCGAGCAGCCATGGAATATATACAACTATGACGTTATCACTTAATTGCTATAATGATTCTATTATAGATAAGATGAGCTAATATTGACCCATAAAATGATCATGTTAGAATTAAATCAATGCGTTTAACTAAGACGTTATGTACCGTAGTTGTAGGCTGACATTTGTGTGTTCCACGGAAAACATCCAGTCCCGATGTTGTAATCGATTCATCACTGTCACATTGATTTATATCAATATACGTTAGTTCTATGTCTATTGTAGCCACACCTCTGTTGATGAAATTATTTTGCAATACATTGTTAGTACAGAAAATGTGAAAAGATAGAAAAAAATACAGTGTAAAGTGTTATGCAAACTATAAGGTGAAAATATTCAGTAGGCTTATTTGGTCCGGTAAAAGTTTTACTACATGTATCTTATGCAAAATGCAGCCTGTGAGAGACATCGCGTCTTTAAAAATACAGAGAGAGAGAAAACACTCGTGGTATATATTCTTTTGTTGCATCCTTGCGTTGATCTTTAATATATATAATCCTGATTTATTTCCAACTGGTTTAGGGTCGAAGAACTCGCCAAACTATTATCAAGCGGGTGTTTTTTTGTGATATTTAACAACAACAACAACAACAAAAATTCATCACCCATTTAAGAAAGATGCAATCAATTTAAAGACGAATCTGTCATTTTTGTTATCTGATTCTGTATAGTTTATATATATATATACCAATTATATGAGTAATGATGGGATATAATTAGATTGATTGATTTTTTATCATCCCTCGTGAGTTTGGTTATGTTCGAGGATAGTCATTAAATTTTGTTCTATCTAACATCAAATGATTAAAAACTGGTGAATTAGCCTACTGATATGTTAGTTTACTCAGATGTTTTTCTTTTAAGAAAAACGTCATACAAGCAACACATTCTACACTTAGTATGATTTATAACCCATGTCATTGTTCTTGTTCATATATTTATAGTTTTAGTAGTATATGTAAAAACGACATTGTCGACACTAACTGAAAAACAGCTTTCCCATCTTTTACTTTTAGAATAGGTGCTGAGTAAGTAACCATCCATATTTCCCCACCACCACAGTCATAGTAAGGATTTGTCCAGTGACCGTCAGCCAGAGAAGCCATCGGGTATAGTTCCTCCACTTCCGGTAGCCATTGGTAACCTTTTCTTTGGAAAACAAAAGTGATACTTTAATATCAATATGTTTCTATAATTCATTTTCGGTTTTCATTGCTATTTAGGAAACAAACAAAAACAGAGCGGCATCTTAACTGATGCTCGTAATTAGAATAGAAATATGTTCATTACATATTCTATCTTTGCAATAAGTTGGATATATTGTAAATAGCTAAAAGGCAAACTTATGTATCGCTAATTGCCAATGAACAGAACTGAACTGATGATATGAAATCAATGCATTTATTCATGATATGCCAGACATGTTTACATTCTATAAACCTTGTAAACAGGGAGAATTGAAATATCAATGAATTCCATTATCTTACATCAAAACACAAATAAAGCATACAAAAGGTATAAAATGTCTCTAATTATCATGAATAAATCACAAGAAAAATCATTGACAACTGTATCAGAATTTTACGTGCAAATACTTATGGTTAATGCTGAGTAATTGTTTTAGAGTTTTTGACGTCACTAGACTAAGCAATTTTGTGAAAACATCTGACTCACGATTTCATGCTTTTTAAATGTTTATATGATGTAGTTTTTTTAACAACAATTATACTACAAAGTACAAGCCTTCTGTAAAGTATTGTTTTGATTATAGAAATATAAAACGAGCGGGTGTGATTCATATGCTGTCTAAACTGTTTTTATTTGTTTGGGTCGTCAGACCAAACAAATAATGGTAGTGAAATTTCAGACCCGGATGTTCTTATGTGCAAATGCCGAAAGTAGTCCAAACTCTTCGAAGCGGTTACTTCCCTTCATATGTACATTAACGCCGAAAAATTAAGGGCAGATCACTGCGTAAAGATTGTCAAATTACAGGCGCATTCATTTTCGTAAAGAAAAAATTGTTCCCGATTGGTCGAATATTTCTAATATTGTGTTATTCTTATAGATATACATGCTTATATTCAGCTCCATGATTATTTACGTCAGTGTTAAACAACAGAATTACCGTGAACAAAATATATCGAAATTAATAAGGGTTACAAACTCTAATTAAGAATAATTTGGTATTCTTCAGGCTGTTATCTTATAACTCCCCGTGGTCGAGGAGTTTACACGCTCGCTTTGGAAGCGAGAGGTCCAAAGTTCAAATCCCAGTTCAGTCAAATCATGTTTTTTGGGGTTTTTTTGTTGTTGCTTTTTTGTGTTTATATTTTTCTAATTGATTAAGCCAAATAAACATTGAATTGAATATCAGTGTTGCAATTAGTCTTATAGCCGATTTACTATAGTTTAACACGGGAAACAGAATTTGGTGACATTTTACAAACAAATTGGTTTATAATCTCACAACCTTCACCTTTCTGACATTCTGAGACCCGAACAAATTCAGCGCCTTCTGTGCTTTGATTGAAGGTTTGGAACTTGTACCGACACCAACGTTAACCGGACCACAACGATCCATGCATTGACCTACATACCTATAAACCACTTCCTCTGTAGCCATGGTGATATTTGACTTGTCTTTTACCTTGACACTATTGTACCATTCTCTGTCAGGGTGAAGGTAAAAGTAATTGACGGAGAGGTCGTGAGATCGTATAGTGTTGTTGCTCTTGTAGGCATATGGTGCAAACAAATCGTATTTGCTGCAAGAATAAAATGAGGGAATGATATTTCAGACCATTTAACAGATTTTACATATTGTGTCTTTTAATACCATTTTCTGTTTGAGAAGATGTTACAATAAAATAAATAAAAAATATTGAAATATGACAGAGGCCATCGTAACATGCAGGCGAGCGCTACCGAAGTCAGATTTTATAGAAATGTTAAATTATAGCAAATTTATGGAGAAGGGGGGGGGGCGAAAACTAATCTTACAGAGACAGCTTCATTGTCATCAATGAGTCTATTACCAGGTGAGTAGCAAATAATGCAATATCTTTGACTTTCTGGGTATGAACCAGTTAACTCCTCGAGTACTAGCGGGTAATTATGACAAACATCTACTAGTATCATGTTAGATTTCTTTTACGTACACAAATTACATTGTTGGTCAATCAACTTTAATATTTTAACATCATATCAAACTTTCCTAAACTATGATTTTATCGTACCAAATTAATAATTTGTAAAAGTAATAAGCTTAATGTTAATCTTGTATCTTTAAGATAAATTTCTAGATACAACTAATAACATTTTAACATAAATGTATTTCCCATACCTTCAGGAATGATTCTGCCTAGCCATAAATTTACCAATTACTTGTATCTCTTTAAATATGATATGAGATTAGGAACTCGTTATAAATTAGTCAAGGGAGATATATATTGCTAAACCAAGATCTATAAACTAATAATAATCATATCACTTGACAAATGCCACTAATGTTTATAACGTGTTTACTCTAGAATTTCACTTCTATTAGTATTAATAAATTACTACTGATAGCATTTTGATTGCAATAGTATTATTACCTGTATAAATACGTGAGCTATTTATTACTCTTTTTCGTAGGCTGCTTTAAAATAAACCGTATTAGAACATTATCAATATAATCAAAGTTGAAAAAGAACACCGATTATAATAAAACATTATAAAGTCAACCTTTAACCAGCTATAGCCAAACCAGTCTGTATAACTTATATTGATATGAAGCTCAAACGTTAAACAAATCATTGTCATGATGTGAATGAAATTGATAGTGTCTCTCGTGCAACAAAAATGAAATTACATAACGCATTTGTTACTGCTTTTTATTTACGTTTTGAACAAGACAGTTATCACAAGAACTCCTTGACAAGTTATCATAAGAACTCCATCCCTCGTGTAACACTTCCTACCTGGTTTAATACGGAATATGATATTAAATTCATCAGACCTAAGCACTGCACTGTAGCACGTAAGCACTAAATGACTGGCTGCAAGCAGTTGTGAAATAAATAAACACTGGGATTTCGAATCCTCAATTTATTGACGTGATACTATTTCGCCCGATTACATGTCTATATATGTCTATATATATGAAAATTGTATTTAATTGCATATATATCACGAAGCGTTATGGGAATAGCAAATAAAATTACTAACATAACTCAAACATTTCTTAATTAATTTAATTAAAGTAAAGTAATATATATTGATTATTTAGTAATCTAACTAAATACGCTCTCCCGTCAATAGAAATAGAACTAAACAGGATATCAAAAGAAACAAATATTTTAAAAGATGGTGACAAGGGAACAGTTAATTAACGGCTTAGAATCATCAAAAACGAATAATTTAAACAATTTTCATCAAGCTGCTATGAAAGTGGCGATTTATAAATTTTGCTTGCTTATTTCCAATTAGCAAATGGTTTTATTACATATTATCATTCTAGTATATTTATTAAACAATCGTAATTCTTCTTGGCAACAGTTACTAGTAATTCAAAATTTAAGGAATTTCAGTATCAAAATACAAAACTTTAGCTACCAGCCGTATATTGACTGGTTTTAGAAACATAATCAACAGTTGGTAAGAGTTGAAACCTATTTGTAATGGTTTCTGATTCTCAATTTGGGTACGAGCTTTACTCTGGCCGTTACGACCTAACATGGCGTCCAGGAAGCTGCACCGCAAGTAGTCCGGTCTTGTTCAGAATCATCAGAATCGAGCAAAGATATTTGAGCCGTGTCACGACAAAACCAACATTGTGGGTTTGCGACCAGCATGGATCCAGACCGGCCTGCGCATCCGCGCAGTCTGATCAGGATCCATGCTGTTCGGTTACCAACCCTATTACATGTAGAGAAACTGATAGCGAACAGCATGGATCCTGATCAGACTGCGCAGATGCGCAGGCTGGTCTGGATCCATGGCAAACCCACTATGTTGGTTTTGTCGTGACGCAGCCAATTTTAATTAAATTGTAGTATGAATATAAGTGTATTTTTGCTGTGTATAATGTAAACTTTTTTGTAATCGTCATTTTCTTGTGTGAAAAAGAACAACAAAACCATTTTATTAGAAAACAAACATATACATTGATATTTCATCATTTTAAAATATTGGAAAGTTAGATATATTAAATATATCGATCATTAACTTGATTCAAATTGGCGCCAGTTCTGTATCATTAACATAAAAAGGCAATAAACTACAATTTAAAATGTTGTGGAAAATTGTCATCTAACATGTCTATTTTCGATTTTTTATGTTACATATATGATTTAAAAAACACAGTCAATAGCTCCTCTGCATTTTATTTTGTTACTAGTAGATCAATTACTGAAAATACGTGGAAAATTTTTATGTTTCCTTCGCTGATGAGTTTTTTCCCCACAACAAATTACAACAATATTTATATAATAATACTCTATATACTAGTTGTATACACAAATGTCAGTCTAATTTCAATTATAAAGAAATTATTGAATATTTATTAAATATTAATTGTTATTTATGTTGTACCATGAAATGCCATGTAATTTATGTTAGCGAAATACATTATTATTATTATTACTATAAGAAATACTTGTGTTGATGTCTTACTCAAACACGATTGATACATTGTGTTTGTTATTACTAACAAGAGACGTCATTTACAATTTCGATGCGTTTTGTAGAATGATGGAAAATATATATTAGTATTGAACCGGGTACCTGTAAACCCCTCTCTCAAGTGCGATGCATGCCCCAAATATGAGAGAATCTCCGTGCACGTTATTTCGTACCAAAAGAAAGAGCATTTCGTCTGTGAGAGAGTCCAGCGTTCCATTATTCAGTCCAATCACTTTAGAAAGTAAATTGGCAGTCCTGTAATTCAAGTAAATGATAAACATAAATATACAATAAAGTAGATGTTACTTTAATTTTATTGCTAGTTTTTCTTGTTTATTGTCACATGTTCATGTAAAAAGTCTTAGAGAGGATTGATAACAACTGACAAAACTGAAAAAATATAGGTTAACAGATCACAATTAAATGTCTTGTTGAATTTCGAGCTGTTATATATATCTAACTAAAGTTTCTCTCATGCTCTTTGATTATTGCACACTTTACTGAAATTTACATTGTAAGAGATTTAAGACATGAAATTGAAACGTTTTTAGAATAATCAGTGGTAGAACTATTGGACACACAAACAAAATAAGTATAAACAACATTCGTGGTACCTAATTGCAGGATCCGCGTATTGATCCCAGGCGGTGACATCAAACTGAAGGGGCAGAACGTCACCAATCACCAAATCTCCGCAATTACTCGCCTGTAATTGGAACACATAATCCAAGGCTTGTTCAACTGTCTTATCTTTCCCTATGAAAATGTATATTATTATGGTATTTGATAGATACAGCATGTATATAAAAACAGATAATACTTTTTCTACTTTTTTGAGTATTTTGATTCGTGATTTCTACCTACATATTTCGTATACTAGATAATTGGCTACTTGCTGCGGAAATAAAATAGTTTTAGGTTTCTTAGCTTTCAACAAACTTCTACAGTTAAGCTTATCAGGTTGAGAAATCTATTGTTAATGGTTGTGCAGCTGTAACAGTAAAGTGTGTTGGTGCCTGAGGATTAGCTCGGAAACCTGATTTTGGCCAACCTTTGTAGGAAATTGGAGATTAAATTTTAAAACCACTGATAATAAATTATATAAACATAATTATAGCTTTAGGTATTGGCAGGTAGAATAATGGTCGTGCAATATAGTATCTGTATGATTTCAAAATTACCTAGTTGTACTCCTCGGGCAATTTAAATCAGTATGATAATAATCAGAATGACTGTATTAACATCAAATTTATTAATTAATCAATTAACGAAACAATTATACAATCCTTCTAACCAAGATAACAAGCTTGTATTATTAAATCCTTTATCTTTATACATAAAAGATCCAAATAATTAATTAATTAAATAATAATAATAATAATAATAAAAATAATAAAAATAATAAAAATAATAATAAAAATAATAATAAAAATATCAAATAATATATGAAATGATTAATAGGGGTATTACGATAACAAGCTGTTTCGCTAAGTTTCTTCACTGTGATTATAAATGATGATATGATGATAAAATTTATTCATACAAAGTCAGTATGCCCATCAGTATATAGTAATGATACAATCGGAATTTACATAACATCAATGACATGATACAAGCATGAAAAACATGAAATGGTTCACAGAGTCATTATTCTTATTCATAATAACATATCTAATATATTGTTTATATGATACTGTGAGAGGACAAGGTTGTCGTTGATACAGTGCATTGTCTCTTTTATTAAAACTTTTGAAAACAAATATCGCTAAACTATCCACAGATTTTCAGATTTGTTTTTCTAAATTTAAGTATATAAGGTCTCTTCTAAAAAAAAATTTTTCATATGCATTTGTCTAATATCTTGGTAGAGATATTTTATTTGGACATTCAAATAAAAAATGAAATTCATCGTCTAGAGTGTTACAAAGTATTAATTTTCTTTCTTCAGATAATGTTTTATGTGGCTTATGCCATCTACCTGTTTCTACCTCTAAATAATATGATGACACTCTCAGTCTTGTTAATGCCTTACTAAATTTAGCAATTTTAGCAATGTTTAAACATAAAAATAGTCTATATGTCTTGGCTCTTGTCGTGTTTTCTAATTGAGCGTTCCAAAGTTATAAACAATTTTCATGCTGTCTCTGCTCAAGTACATCTATGAAAATGTTTTTATTTCCTACTCCTTGAAATAGCCACACATGATTAAAAAACCTAATGCGTCTAGTAAAAGTTTAATATTATATGCCCATGAAATCTTGTTAGGATACATTTCTAAGTCTCTTAACATCATATTGTATACATGTCTTATAAATTTTGTGGATTCACATTCTAATATTTTAAACAAATATCTTAATATACATATAAGCCTATTTCAAAGTAAACTGTAATTTCCAGGTTCGTCTGTATCACCCATTTTGTTATCCACTTATTATCGAAATAACCGAGGTCAAAAATTTGTTTAATAAAAAAATTGAAGTAAAGATAGGAAAAATCTATTTTGTGACACATACTTGAAAAATTCATTTAAAACTATGTCTCAATCTGCCGCTTTTCTTAATTTCAACTTATTACAAGTTTTTTAAAACCTCAGCAGGAGAAATTTTCACGTTTAATTATGAAAACATAACGTTAATTTCATTATTAAGATACATTGTAAAATATAGTCATCAGGCTAAAAAAATGCAGACTCATGGTTGTTAACCGCTTTAAAACATTCAGCAAAACGATCTGCAGAAATACTGTTCGAACTTTTTTACCACACAAATTTTTGACAATTTTCTATACTTTTTTTGCATTTGAAAGTCATATTTTTTTTTCTAATTTTGTTGTTTTCATTTTGTCATAATGATATTTTTCATTTCTTACAAGCTACGGTCTGTGGAAAATGACAAAATTATGGATGCCAAGTTTGGATTTAAAACAGGTGATAGAACTGTAGATGATATTTTTATATTACATTCTTTGATTGAAAAGTTTATAAATGATGCGTGTAAACTATTTTACTGTTTTATTGACTTTAAAAAAGCATAAGATCAAATTGACTGGAACTGCCCATGGTATTATTAAATAAAATGTGGTATTAAATATGGTTTATCATTTTCTGTAATATAATTAATGTATGAAGATGTTAAATTGTGTGTATAACATGTCGATGTCAGAATTTTTCAGTAGCCAAATTGGTCTCTTTCAAGGGCAATCATGTTCAGTCCCTTTTAGAATTATTTACAAAATTTATTGCAAGAAAATTTAGATGACGGTATAACATAATAAAAAATATCGATTTATTTGTTATTATTTACAGATTTGTTCTGAGTCTGCTCAAGGTTTACAGACTTCCTTAACATAGTTTAGAAAAATATTGTTAAATAATTAGCATCTTACTGTTAATGTAGATAAGACTAAGATTGTTGTGTTTAGAAAAGGTGGAATTTTTAATAAAATGCTATAAACGGACATATAGGGGATCAAATATAGAGATTGTAAAAACGTTCAATTATTTAGGTAATGTTTTCTCTTCATACCAGCGACCAACACACTAAAAGGTAAAACACAACATGCTATGAGCTCATTATTAAATGTAACAAGAGATAAGCAAGTTCCCATTGATATTATGTTTAACCATTTTTTTATACATACGTTCTACCAATTCTTTATAATAGTTGTGAGATATGGGTTAACATGCATGCCATCGGAAAATTTAGAAATCGTGCATATGAAATTCAGTAAAAGGTTGCTCTATGTGAAAATGTCAAGAAATACGATTTCATATTTGCAGAAGTAGGTCGATTCCCATAAAATATTTCACGACATGTAAGAATTGTTAAATATTTTATAAAATTATATGAAAATAAAACAAGCAATTATATATTAATTTATATTGTAAATGTCAGAGATCGAAGATAGAATCAAAATCTAATGCCGTAATGGGTTGTCTAAAGTTAATGCACTCTTCCAAAGTTCTTTATTTTTGGTATAAACATATTAAGACCAAATTTAGCATGTCTCAATATCTAAACATTACTTAAGAAATACTTTGGCTAAACACAGATTATGGTAGACATGATAAGATCGATAAGAAGTGAACGAAAATGTTTTATTTGCAACAAGAATGACATCGAAGATGAATATCACTTTGTATTGAATTGCTCTTTGTAAGATTCTTTTAGGAAAAAGTATATATCGAACTATTTTACAAGAAACCCTAGCATGTTTAAATTTATAAAATTGCTGAATTCATGTGTTGTATCACACTCTCACTAATTTATTTATTGATATGCGTTACCATTTTCATATTCATTCATGTATATATATTGTTGTATATTAGGATGAGCTGTACATGCTTAATACAAAATAAAAAGTACATTCTGTTCTATAAAACTCGAAAACGTATAAAAATATGTGTATATATTTTATGGAGATAACTCTAATTAAAAAAGGTTATTGTAACACTGTGTCATTCAGAATACAATGAATAAAATATGAGAGTGATTATCTTTATTCTGTTTTCTTATCTATGTCCTTCCGATATTTTTAAAGAAATTAATAACATAAAATAAATGTAAATGCTTTTTAATTTTAAAATGTAAAAATATAACTAACAAACAAACAAACAGAAAAAAATCAGGATGTAAAATACGAAGCTAAAATACATAAACATATACATGTATTTAAGTAGAATAATATAGCATTATGATACAATATATATTTTACCGTTATAGTATAGAATATATTTTTACCAGGGTATCATTTCAAAAAGCAAAAGAAACTTACTTCCAACAGCTATTCCATTTAGGAAGAAGAATGCGTATAACATATAACTGTATAGAAACATGTTTCACGTCAGTGTGCAATCTGGAGCACATATTTTAAATGCGGTCCTTAAGTACTAAAGCAATCATTGGCAATAGTCACTTTATTGGATTCTACGTATCATGTGACAAAATAGCAGATTCGCTAGCTATAGATATATATGTGACTTCCGTTCAAAGTCTCTATAGACTTATTAGTATCACAATTAAATTTTGGTGGCGAATCAATTTTCACTATTGTATGCACTTAATAATTCATTATTCTGATTACATGCTTTACATCTAAATTGCATTTAGATTAAACCAACATCAGTGATTAAAACCAGAAAAGCGTGTTGATATTAGGTTATGGAAATATATTTTAAAAGGATATTTTAAGTTATTAATTGCCACAATTCAATACAACACATACAAAATTTGTATTGTAAGAAAATAATGCTTGATGATAGAATTGGAAAAAAGTAGCTGTTTATAGAAAACGTGAAGTGTTGTTTTTTGTTGTTTTTTATAAAGAAGTTTGTAAAAATGATGAAAGACAGGACATTAACGGTAATTTTACTAATTTAGTCATTTTTGTATTTTTCTAATAGCACTGATACGGTTACTTTAAGTAAGTTAAAAGAAAACGCTATAAAACCATAAAATGTTTTGCATATAAATATTACAAAACAACATAATAGAATGAATATGAAATATGATAAAGCATGTCAATAAATAAATTGTGTTACATGACACCTTCACAAATTTATTCAATATTTATTGATATTTAATGTTATAAGGATTATTTATAAAAATCCAATGAATGAAATCTTAATTTAAATGCTTTATTACAATATTATTATTAATATTAATAATTTAGGTAATTAAACCTGCTAAAATTAGTCTTAATATGTTCATTCAAAAACAAAGAACAAATATGTACACTAGAATGCCAATGTGTGATTTAAATATCTTTAAAACGACCATGTAGCACTTGTGTAAATATATTTTAAGCTTAACTGATTCTGGATACATCCACACATCATTAAAACCCGCACTTTCCAAGAGTGCTCTGACTTTAGACAACCAATTTACAGTATTAAATATTATAGCTCTATCTCCAATATCTTACAATTAACAATATAATTTAATATACAACTGCTTGTTTTATTTTGATATAATTTTATAAAATATTCACAATTCTTACATGTCTTGAAATATATAATGGAAATCGACCTACTTCTGAAAACATTGAAAGAGGATTTGTTGACATTTTCATATTGACCAACACTTTTCAGAATTTTCTAAGTGCTACATTCAAATTGTCTAATGACATGTTACCCCATACCTCACAACTATAATTTAAAATTGGTAAAACATATTCATCATACGACATTTGACTTGAAGAGGAAGCCTCTACATTTACTATACTATTTCCATCTTTTAAATGCTTTGAACTAATTGTTGGCAGTTTTTCGTACCTTTTTCTTCTTTTCTTTTACTTTTCCGTAATATAATACATTCCTGCAATTACAAATTTTTGGCTGCTAGGCCATAAAGAGTAATATACATAATTGATTTCAATTATCCATACATTGCGCATCTTAACAGTTTCAGTTTCAGGTTTATTGATATATTGGTACAAAAATTGCATGCATACAAAGGCTTTCTTTTCCTAAGAATATTATTTTGATCTAAGTTGTATTCACCTCTAAACCACACTTTCTACAATGTTGATATACATTGTCGAAACTCCCTCGTAAATCCATAGGTGTTTAAGCCAGAATAACCATATCGTCTGCAAAAAAAAAAAGGTTAAACACAAATCAAATAATGAAATACCAAGCCAAGAGAAATATCGACACATGAATTCATAGTAGCAATGAATATTCATATTATATTTCAATCTAACTAATTATATTTCAATTTAAACAGCTAATCAGAGCTTTAACCATAAAGCATTCCTTTAAACAGAGTCAAAAGCTTTCTTAAGGTCTATAAAATAATAAAAGCCTAATAAAGGCGCACATTTTATGACGAAAATCACGTCAACTGTGCTACCGCCGTGTCGGAAACCGACCTGAGAATCAGACATTACGTTAAACTGGCTTCACCAATTTTCAACAAGCTTTGTTAAAACACTTGTTAACATTTCAAAAGTTATTATTAAGCGTTCAGTCTCTGTATTGTGTATTCATGTTATGTGGTATTTTTAGTTTCTTCTATTTGGCTTTTTTCAATTTGGGTGGTTCCAGTATTCCTACTTGAATACTGTCTAATCACCCTTAGGATATGTTGCCTGCTTTTTAAATTTGTCTTTTGACGTATTATCTGTGATATGCAGGCTTCATAACCTCTGATCCCCTTTCAAAATTCAATTTTATTTAGTTCCGCCCATTGTTTTCTCGTTTAGGGCATACGCATTTTTTTACTTGGGGACCATATGCCGCTCTTCATGGAATGGCACTTACGTGTCACATTGAAGGTTCCATGACAACCGCCATATGAACACATCTGCGGATGTTTCAAAATTCCAAATTGTACCAGTTCATGTATAATGTTGAATTCTGCTTAAGCCGGTGCTAGGGGGCGTGGACGGTAACTTGCACTATCCAGTACCGTCCATGAACAGGCTCAATCAAACCGAGCCTGCAACATTGTCAATTTTGCCGTGTTGGGCTTTCTTTAGGGATTCTGTTTATCTCTATTTTATGGTCACATCAGTGTTATTTGTAGCGTGTGGCGGCCGTAAAAAGTCGCCCCGTACATTTAATCAAAGATGTTATATTTTCGATCCTTGAAGATCGTTCAGCACGACATAATTGTTGTGTATTCATGTTATGTGGTATTTTTAGTTTCTTCTATTTGGCTTTTTTCAATTTGGGTGGTTCCAGTATTCCTACTTGAATACTGTCTAATCACCCTTAGCATATAATGCCTGCTTTTTAAATTTGTCTTTTGACGTATTATCTGTGATATGCAGGCTTCATAACCTCTGATCCCCTTTCAAAATTCAATTTTATTTAGTTCCGCCCATTGTTTTCTCGTTTAGGGCATACGCATTTTTTTACTTGGGGACCATATGCCGCTTTTCATGGAATGGCACTTACGTGTCACATTGAAGGTTCCATGACAACCGCCATATGAACACATCTGCGGATGTTTCAAAATTCCAAATTGTACCAGTTCATGTATAATGTTGAATTCTGCTTAAGCCGGTGCTAGGGGGCGTGGACGGTAACTTGCACTATCCAGTACCGTCCATGAACAGGCTCAATCAAACCGAGCCTGCAACATTGTCAATTTTGCCGTGTTGGGCTTTCTTTAGGGATTCTGTTTATCTCTATTTTCTGTAATTATAGGAAGAATTATTGAACTGGGACGATATAACCATATGATTAGACTTTGGGAAATGGACCTGAATCAAATATCGCATAAAGAAGTGTTAGCTCAGCACTTTTTTGATAGTGACAAACAGTAATTACGTTTCTTTTCTCTCAGTACAGATAATTCATCAGAATCAATCAATAATCATATAAGGTCATGAAGACTGAACATAATCTACTGAGAGCAGCAGATAAATGAGCTTTAATGTGGTGTAATCCATTGTCTTCTCTCTCTAGGTTCAATGTATAGTGATATGATAGTTTGTAATATTTTAAAATACGGATTACGTCTGACGATCCAAGTGTAACACTATATGATAGGCAGTTCAAACCGAAACAGCTTGATTTTCGTCTTCCGTCTTGCTTTGCCGGGCCCTCTTCCTGCTCTGTCTTCCTTTACGACATAAATAACTTTTGTTGTAATCATTTGGTTTATTTTTTATATGTATGTATATAAGCATCTCTGTGTTTTACTTTTTTCACCTTTTGTAACCATAACAACTGTTAGAATTTCGCCTGGTGGGATTTTCGTCTCCGATATCTTCCCTTTCCCAATTGATTTTATTTTCATATATACCCTACTCCTACACCTTGTCCGTTTGAAGTTGGAGATAATGATTTGAATTAATAAGTATTGTAAAGGAAGATGCTTATTTCAGTTCTCGGTAAGAAAGGTGTTTTTTCTTTCTGGGTGGAAAATATGCTATTTAATATAATTTTGAGGAAAAAAACATTTATTTTATTTTGCCGAAATGTTAATCTAATAATGCTTTCATTGATAAAACTTTATGTTTAGGTTAAAATGTTGAATTGGTCATTGTGTTCTTTTGGTGAAATCAAGGGGTCAATGATGTCTTCAATTTAACAAGATTGAGTAAAGCTTATACACAAACCAGTACCAGTATCTGTCCTAGTAATTACAATCTAGTTGCCACTTGTTGAATAGAAAATCGAACATTTTTCAACTGTTTGTTAGAATGGTGTCAGCTGCTCATACTTGTTAAAGAGTTGCAGTTCAGCAAAATGCTTAATGAAAAGTGGTTTAATTGCTGATACAACTTGAGCACCTTTAGAAAAAGTATTATTTATATTCATACAGGACAAATGACTGTTTCTGTTATTTCATAACGTTTAATATAACCTAAGAATCTGATTCAGTTATGGCTTCTTGAAAACCATCACTAGAGAAATACAGAAAAACTTATTAGCTTATGTGTATGCATCTGCAGGTTTTTTTTACAAAAGAAAACCAAAAATAATCATGTTTTATATACATACAAACATACAAATTGGTAAGATTTATATTCATGTAGATCTACGCAAATTCAGAAATCCTAATTTACATCAACACATGACTCCAAAAAACTTTAAATTTGATTTTCGTCATTTATAACATTATGTTCAAAAAGATGTCACTGCTTGTAATATTTGATTAATGTCATGCAAATGAGGTAGTGAGAACCGGAGTCCCTTAGGAACACCCATAACGGTAAAATTGAAAATGTTGCAGGCTCGGTTAGATTGCGCGTTTTATTTATTTACGGTACTGAAAAGTGCAAGCTCTGTCCAATCCTCTAGCACCTGTTAAAGCAGAATTAAAACATCAAAATAGTGAAGTTTTAGAAACATCCGCAAATGTGTTCATATTTCAAACTTCAAACTTCTATTGTTACACGTTCGTGCAATTCCATGAAAAGCGGCGT